ACTGCCTCCAATACCAGAGGGATGCTGGAGTTTCTACAGCCACTCCATTGGACACTCCCTCAGATTCAAGGAAGCCTTTACAAACAAAGGGAAAACTTACTGGTTGTAGCTGCTGAAGGGTGTCCGGTGACTGTTGAGTCAGAAGGCAAATCTATTTCAGGTGAACTGGAGACAAGGGATAGGGTCCCAATGTGGCCTAGACCTCCAAGGGGTGTGTGTGCACGTCATTGGCACAATGTAAGGTTTCATGCTGTGGAGGACCTTGGAGGATCAGAGGTGCAGACATCACACCTCACAACAGATCTCACACAGGGATTTATTGGGGGTGGAGTGGGGGAAGGAGAAGGCTGTCTTGGAGTGGAGACAAGAGACAGACACAGGCAGACAAACAGACAGACAGAAAAACAGTGATATGATGGAGAGGACCATTTAAAGGGTATGTGTGTTGCATTTAGTGCCTGGTGATGACATGACTGCAGGCTGAGTTGCTGGAGGCTGGCTGGGGCTCTCAATCAGTGGTCTTTCTCCTCACATCTGTGGGATTAACATCATCTTTAAGGTATGAAAGTGTCTTTAGAAACATGCAAGATTGAAAGGTGCAGTTTTGCCATTCAGACTCCTCCTCCTTTTAAAGCTAGTGGCTACAGGCAAGACACCTTTACTGAGGACAATGTTTTTTCTCAATACTACTTTAGACCAAAGTGTTTGTATCTGAAAGAAAAAGGAAATCCGTCAATCTGCTATATGGTTTCTTCCTGCATCTGGCAATGCTGCCCAGTCTTCTTATCTTGGATCCAGCAACACAAACCCGTGCTATATATCCACTACCCAGTATTTGGTCATTACCAATGCCCAAATATTCTGTTCCTCTTGGCATCCCTAGAGACCCTTGGACCAGAAATACTTCTGTCCAGAGTAAAGTTCAAAGACACTGATACACATGACAGCTGTTTTACCTAACAGCTCTGAGAAAACATAGAGTTTACCTATTTGGAACTTAAAACTTTACAACTCAGCTGCTTCTCAGAACATCATAGATGATCAGTAGAGGGTCGCCCCTGGCTAAACTATTGTCTCTGCAGAGGCAATACTGCCTAACTCATTGTCTTTAGAAAGGTGTCCCTGGCTAAGCCATTATCTGTGCAGAGCTGTCCCTGGCTAAGCCATTGTCTCAGCAGAGGGCTGGCTTTGCAGACTGTGAGGAGACAGGAGGGAAAGCAGGAAGCAAAGGATGTTGGGAGAAGAAGAAACATAGAAATGGTTGCTCCTACCCTGCTATGTTAGAGAGGTTACTCTCCACTGGGTCTCAGCTGCTCTCTTGGAGGCAAGAGACTGTCACACTGTTCCATATGATCCTGTGGGACCAAAACAGGAGCAATATACCTTGCAAGTCAATGGAAGAACAAAGCAGGAAAAAATATACTTTGCATGTTAAAGTTTCTGCTTTCAGTTAAAGAATATGTTCTTGTTTGTCCTGTATTAAACCTTTGCATGTTAAGGTTTCTATTTGTAATTAAGAATAAGTTCCTATTTCTTGGATATGATGTAAACAGCAATGCACCCACACCCATTCCTTCCCAAACCTTTGGGAGAAATTCTTTTGTATATATTGAAGGGGTAGTTTTAGGAATAATGTGGTGTGGAGAAATTCTTTAGTATATATTGAAGGGGTAGTTTTAGGAATAATGTGGTGTGGAGAAATTCTTTAGTATATATTGAAGGGGTGGTTTTAGGAATAATGTGGTGTGGGTTGGGACCACAGGTGGTGGGTCCTCAGTCCTGTGCTGGGACATAGAGGGCAGGTGATGGGGGGGGCAACATGGGACACGGATGACAGAAACATGTAGAGATGTTTTATTGATGGGGAGGTAAGAAAATAAAGTAAAGAGACACAGAGACTGAGAGAGGACAGAAAAGAAGAGGAAGCTAAGAAAAGTCCTGTCTGCCCCAAGATAACAGCGGGAAAGAAAGTGGGAAAGACCATAAGTGGGCAGGTCTGTCTTTTAAAGGGGTCCTTTTCACCTGTTTGCAGACTAGTACTCAGGGAACCCTAGGCTGACCAGGGTATCGCCTGTGTGCATTCTGCCATGTAACAGGGGCAGGCCAGCATAATGCCTGAATCCTTACAGTGAGAGTTTAGAGTTGGTGATCCCACGTTAGAAGAAAATGTATGTGACTCAACAAAATGGACAACTAATAAATATGACCAACCCAGTAACACCTGCTGAAGAGAAGACCACCCACATCTGTCACAGCTCCGTGGGAGCAAGTGATTATCTGAGGCCGGAGCATGAAAGGTTGAGGGTGGCTACAAGAATGGACTGACATGACAGGAAATTTCACCTCTGTGAGAGGAAAGGAAACATATTTTTGCAGACAAAAATGCAAAACAGAGCAAACAATAGCGTGTGGAGGTTGCCCTCTAGTGACAGAATCCGGAGAAACTGGCAGAATCTGTCAATCAGATTGAGTGCAGGTTTAGATGAACAAGACAAAACAGAAACACCAGCAACAGAATCAAGGAATAGAATAATCAGCCCTGTGGATCACATTTGCTGGCCAAACACAGTTGGCCAGTCATTCATTCAAGCAAAACTAAAGCCAGATCTCTCATGAGGCAAAACGCTTTGAACACGGCAGTTTAGCGTGGAAGGATCGGGGAAGAATTTCTCGTCAGAATTTTTTCTTCCCAAGCCAGGAAGTGAGCTCCTAAAATGGGTCAATCCCCTCCAATCTCAATGAGGCCGCCCCGTCACGTGGGCCTTTCCCTTGTTAGCCAGAACTGAATTCTATACACAACCTCACTGCCTAGAAGAGTCGAAAGGACTCTATTTTGGTGTTTGGGCAAATAGCAGTCCCTCCAGAGCTTGAGGCAGAAACCATAGAGAAGTCCTGCCTAGTGGCTTACTCTCTAGTGGCTTCTGTTCAGCTCTCTTATGAATACACACCAGGCCCACCTGCCTAAGGACTCTACTCCCCACAGTGTGCTTCCCCTGGCCCCTAGTCAACCAACAATCTATAAGGACAATCAAGATAAGCCATTACACCTTCTGAGAACAAAAACATGAGTTACACATTACTTATGCTGTGTTTTGGATAAAAGTGCCCCCCCATAGGCCATATATTTGACTATTCAGTCACTATTTGAAAGGATTAAAAGAACTAGGAGGTGTGGCCTTGTTGTGTGTCATTGAAGGTGGATGCCTAGGTTTCACAAAAAGCCCAAGCCAAGTCTAGAGTCTCTCTGCCCACTGATCATGATGTAGCTCTCAGGTACTGCTCCAGAGCCTGCCTGCATGAGCCCTGCTCCCTGTCGTGACGATAATGAACTAAACCTCTGAAACTGTAAACAAACCTCCAATTAACTACTTTCTTTTTTAAGAGCTCCCTTGGTCATGGCATCTCTTCACAGCAATGGAACAGTAACTAAGACAGAAAGAAATTAGTACCAGGGACTGGAGTATTCCTGTGACAGGACTGACCATGGTGTTGGTTAGAAGGATATGGAAGACTTCCGGACTTCAGACTAGAAAAATGGTTTGGATACTTTAGGAGGGGCTTGATGGGTCATCTTAGTGGGAGCATGGAAGACAGTGTTCAAGGTGATGTAAACTGTGGAAGCCCAGCTCAAAAGAGTTTCAGAGAGTACATGGTCTAGAGACCATTCTTGTGATGTTTAGGCAAAGAATGTGGCTTCTTTTTGTTCTTGTCCTAAAAATCTATCTGAAGCTAAATTGAAGAGTTTTGAATTAATGGCCTTAGTAAAGGACATTTCAAGACAGCCCTTTTGCAAGACTGTATTGTGTAGTTATAGTGACCAGAATTAAGCAGATCTATAATGAAAAGTAGCAAGCTGAGCAAGGAAAAATACCAAATGCAAAGTTTGAAGAGTTAGGAACACCAGGAAATGTAATGTTGAAGCCATGTATAGTGCTCAGGGATATTAAAAGTTTAAAGAAAAAAGCCTGCTGATAAATGGCATAAAGGAAGTGGTGATCTCAGGGCAAGCTTCCAACTTGTGAAAAGGAAATCTTAAGCAGTGGAGGAAGTTCCAAGCCAAGTTCCAGCCACCGGAAAGCAACAGAATTTGGCAGATTCAGTCACATGATTCTGACTTTAGAGTCAAGAAAGAATACAAGAAAGGGGTTGTGGAATCTCCCTCAACAGCTAAGAAAACCTGATGCCCCCCCCCGCCAGGTGTGATGATTGTATTGGAGACTCCAAGATGTTGGAGATGTCAAAGTCATGAGATATCTGCCAAGGAAAGCTTCAGATTGGAAGTGGAACCAGCCCAAGGGAAAAAAGTATGTTGCAATAAACAGAGCTGAAACCAGTTGGAGGTATGAAGATCATTTTGACATCAGACATAGCGATGCAGAGTTTGGAGTTTGCCCAGCTGGTTTTTGGTCTTCCTTTGGTCCAGTATTTCCTCACTATCCTCCCTTTCCTCCTTTCCTAGAATGGTAATGTATGTCCTGTGCCACTGCATATTGATATGTGATATGATTTTTGGTTTTGATTTTACAGGGGGTTAGAGTTAAGAGATTGATGTGAGTCTCAGAAGAGACTTTGGACTTCTAAGGAGTCTTGAGACAGTTGAAGACTATGGGGACCTTTGAAGCTGGACTAAACACATTTTACATTAGAGTGTGGCTGTAAGCACTTGTTAGCCCCCTTTACGTGATTAAACCCAAAAAACATTTTCTTAAAAAAGGCAGCCATGGTGTCATGTTCTTATAAGCCCAGCACTACAGAGAAAGAAACAAGCAGATCACCAGAGTTCATTGACTGGTCAGCCATGAGAAACCCTGTCTCAAAAATAATGGTGGACAGCACCTGAGAGACAATATCTGAAGCTGTCCTTTGGACACATACTTGTACTTGCACACATGAGCACTCACACACGAACTCACAATTTCCCAGGTTTTCACTTAATATAGAGAAACTCAAAGCCACAGTCCCACCCAGACCCTGGATACCACATAAAAAGCAGTCTCAGATAATTTATTCCAAATTTTAATATAAACAAGTAATTAGCCTGTATTGTACATGCAGAACAATTTCAGTCCCTCCCCTCCCCTCACAAAAAAGGTGTATTCTGTACATGATGCTACCTGACTGGTAGGAAAACATCACTGTGTTTTGGGTGGGTTTTTGTGTTTCTGAGTTTTCTACAGCACTGTGGCACATTTGATCCCACACTGCTGACATTCAGGGTGTAGCCACCCAGGCACATAAAGGGACAAGGAGCAGCAACTTTGATACAAAGGATAAGGACCAAACAAGTCATTCCTGGACATGTGCATGGACACACACACACACACACACACACACACACACACACACACACATTTGAAGGCCCTTCCTTCTCAAATGATAACAAGAATCCCAGGTCCATGATCTAGGTTTTAACAAGCTTTTTTGTTTTTGTTTCTTTCAGTGTCCCACATACAGATAAAAATTTGACCAGAGACTGATTCTGGACCTTGACTGTTATGCTCACCAATCTCCATCTCTTGAGGGTCACCTGAGGATAAATATGCCTTCAGTCATGACCTCTGAAAAGACCATCATATTTTGTGTAGCTTAAACAGCAAGTGATAATCTGTTATTTCTATTCCCCAACCTTATATCTTGAGTAAATTCATATTCTGAAGAACATTCTGGAAGTTTATCTAAAATGGCTCTACCCTATATGTGTGCCATTTACAAAAAACTCAGCATTTTTCTTTTCCCATGTCCAACAACACCATAATTTTTGAAGAGGCTATGTTCTCAAGAATTCACCAACTAGCATCCAGAACACATCGACCAATCATGAAACAGGAAAATCATTGCTACAATGACACCCACTCATTTACCAAGATTGCCAGTATAAACCAGACTTGCACAGCTATGGTGGACTTCAAATAAATTTACAGTCCTTAACCCAATAATCACTCTGCATGGTAGACTGTCTGTCCTGGCAAGGCAATAAAGGTGACCTGTGCTTTTGTTGGTGTCCCAACAGCCACAGAAACAGATATGCAGCTCTTCCTGCCAATCTCCACATTCTCCCAAATTGTGCTTAGCCTAAATCCAGGAAACCATTAATGTTCTTCCCTTCCCATTTGCTTCAAATGAGAGGGAAGCATCCGGAAGGCTCCAAGAGCATGAACATTTCCTGGTGTGTGATTACTGTCATTGAACAAGACAGAAAACATGTCTGCTCTTATCCTGGAAGAAATGACTGTGTGGTTTTCACCATGATCATAAAAAGGGTTTTAAAATAATGAGACATCTTCCAAAACACACAACAAAAAGCATCAATGAACCCGGTTTTGTTGGTTTTTTCTCTCTCATTCATCACTACAAACTCTTCTGATAGCCATGATACTCTAGGTCCTAAGGTTCTTTTCTTAGAAAGTTAACATCTTTTGAAGCCAAAATTAGTCTAGTGACCCTATGGCTACTTGTCTTCTCCCCAGTAACTGTAGATATCAAGATGGAATTGGCGAACTGTTTTTGATAGGGTCATGACAAGTTGGTACACATCTCCAGAGAAGATGGAGAAGAGTGAATTAGCAAGGACAGTGCCTTAAAGTGAAACAAGAATGATGAAGCTTGAAAACACAGGCCATGTTGGCCCTGCCTTGACTTCCAGAATTCTCAAAATTGCACAAGGCCATACAGTGTCAGCTTGAGGTCAACCAAATCCCAGCAAAGGGCTTCTACTTCATTTTTTAAATTATGTTCAAGAGAATGATGGGTTTTAGATTAGCATTTCCTCCAAATGCCTTCATACTATTTGTGTAGAAGATGACCACAAACACCCAAAGCCTCATAGGTCTGAAAAGCATAAGGAGAAAGAATGGTCAGAGAACCCGGAGTGCCTTTGCATTCATGTCTGGGGGATTTCATGTGACAGCTGTGGGTGCTGGTCCACAGTCTCATTACTTGTCACCAAAAGACCTTAGGTGAGGGGCCTCACAGAAAGGCTAAATCAGGATAGACTGAAGCACGGCTTGTGTGTGAGGAGTGTGCATCAACAAACAGGTTTTATAAGGAGGTTAGACTCAGAGGAATATCAGTGAAGAATCGGGGTTCACAGGAAGGCTCTAACTTCACCCCAACTCCCTCCCTCCCTTAAAATCGCTCCTAGTCCCTGGCATTCAGAAATCAACCTGTATACAGCTCCCCAACTCAGAGCGCAATCCAGCCAGAATTCCAAAGCCGAGATGTCTGTTACTGAACCTCATCCTAACAAGACACTGAGGTAGACTGTGCTGAGAGAAATAAAAACAAGACCCACACTCACCTGTTTTTATTTTTCCTTGATAAAAAAATTACATGCACACCATTTTTTTACAAAAGTGATTTTCAAGAGTGATTTTATATATTAAAATAAATACTTTCCCCAGTAATATAAGAAAACCTTTTGAATTAGAAAAATGTGGAAATTCCTGCTAGTGTAGCATCTGACCACTACAAATTGGCTGTGAAGAGGAAAAATAAACAACAAATATCAGATCTACATGTCTCCCGTTGATGCACAGACCCTCTATTTACAAAGTGATTTGGGTGAAAATGACTGTGACTCTTGCTTCTTGTACCAAGCATTGAGTTCCCTGGTAACAATTTTACAGATGTCATTTTTCTAATATAAATTCGACAGCAACTGGCAATCAGAATTTATGCCTACTTGGGTTTTCAACCAAGAATTAAGAGGGTTTTGAGGTGAGCATTGTGTCTTCATCTCACATTCCCCCAGAGGAGAAGAAACGCCTCAAATATTTGTGGGGAAATGCACTCAGGGAAGAATGTGTGGGAGGATTGTGAGCCCCGATCCATGAGTTCACCATGATTGTTTCTTTTATTTGAGCAGCTGTGGGTTCACAACCTTTCACGAGTTCTTCGCAGTGGGAAGAAAAGTCGGATGTTATCTCCTCCAGACTGTAGTCTCTAGGGACTGCAACATAAGCACCTGAGAAATAGACTCAGGCACCACACCTGCCCGAGATGAGGCCCCTGGGCACCAAGAGCAGCTCTGGGGTTTAGTGTGGAGACTAGCCAATGCCCCAGGGGTGGAGGAGACCAACAGCCACCCCAAGGGTGCATCTCCTTATATATTGCTTAGTGTTCTCAAAGTCCATCTGTGTCGTTGGTCTTTGGAATGAGTTTGCCGTGGTTATACAATGACTGAGCAACATGTAGGCCTCGAAGAGGTGAGGTACACAAGCAGAGAAAAACCCAAAGATGAACACAGGTGTTCTGGAAGGCCAGTTCAGCTCCAGGTAACCACCAGTGTATCCAAGCAAGAAACATTCAGTCCATCTTGCTAGCAGAACCAGTCAAAAATCCAGTTTCTGATATATTCCACAAGACCGCACCGCGTCCTGAAGGGCTAGCAGCTAATGTGGTGTGATTCCCAGAAAAAATGTGTGCTTCAAAGACCAAACACAGAGGCCACTCCTGCATTGTCCTGCCTACCCACACAGGCAGGTGTACCCATTCCTTCCCCTGCCCCCAAGGAAATAATAAATTATTAGGCTCATGCCAGAGATTTCATAAGCATTACATATGATACAAATATATTCTAAAAATTGTCATCTGACTTCTTTCCACTTCCATGGTGTGTGTGTGTGTGTGTGTGTGTGTGTGCTGTGTGTCTGTGTGTCTGTGTGTCTGTGTGTCTGTGTGTCTGTGTGTCCTTTGCTTTGTTTGGTCTTCCAAACAGTCTTAATGAATCCAAACCAAACAGTCCTCCTTCAGTTTTTGGGAAACATTGCCAAAGAGAGGGAAAGAAGACACCTGAGCAAAACTTCTGAGGAGACTGTGAAGCATTTGAGGAGAATGAGTTAATGAGCAGGAAGGACAAGGTGAGGTCGCCCACTCCAAGCTGCAGGAGCTTCACGAGTCAATTCCCCAAGCAAGAGTCCAGATACTATTTTACACACACACACAACCCCCACCCCACCCTGTGATCTCTAGCCTGGACACAACACACACACAAACACACACAGGTGTGCGCAAGAGCCCACAATTAGGACTGCACACCCTTTCCCAAAATAAAATAAGAAAGCAGCAGCTATTGGTCAATTTGAGGAACTGATTTTGTGAATGAGAAAAAAAAAAGAACTAAAATAAAATGAAATTCTTCTCTCAGATTAATGAAATCTTCTCAAGCCCAACCCTGCAAAGCTTGGGCCCTGCAGGTTGGATTTTTCTTTTTTTCTGTCTGTCTCTCCTTTGCTTTCTGACTCGTGCCCCATAAATAAAGTCTGTCTTTGACAACTAGCTGTAACTCACATACTAGCAAGAAAACAGGCGCATTCTTTCAGTCTATGAGGAAAACAACAACAACAACAAAATCCTGGGTTGAAACCGTGGATGAGAGGGGGCGTGGCCGCGGAAAGTCCAACCCCTCTAGGTTCACAGTTAGCCCTCCACAGGCTTGCGGGGGTTGGCAATCACGCGTGTGTATACTTAGGTCAAAAGACAAACAGAAACGCGTATGAACTATCTCTGAGCTCAGTTTCACATCTGGATGGAGTCCTGATAATCCTGAGTTTCCTGGAGGCGGTCAAACTAGAGAAGAGCTCTAAAAAAGAAAGAATCCTTCCCTGAGCAGGCGCTGTTAGGAAGGGTTGGACCTGGGCAAGGTGAGGACGCGCCCATTCTTCTTGCCCCCATTCATGTGGGTGTACGGGATGTGCTCGTCATAGGTCCGTTTAATGCTCAGAGAGGACCCTCCTTCCCGGCCCCCAGCGTCTTCCCTGTAACAGTGAGAGGACCCATCCAAGGGGACATTCTCCATGTCCTCGAACTCCATCTCTAGCTCCTCGCTCTCAGGAGCCTTGTTCTCTTCGCTGTAGAAGAAGGAAACTTCTGGAAAGCTCGGGTGGAGGTCATCCTTGAGCAAGTTGACAATTTCCAGGAAGGTTGGCCTCATCTTGGGGTTGAAGTGCCAGCACATGCGCATCAGGTCCGTGCTGTAGGGACAGAAACCAGCGTGGTTGAGACTCGATGTACAGCTAAGTAGCTCCCTCCTACCCCCGCCCCATTACCCTTCCAGGTTGTAAGAGCCGGGGCCTTGGCTGTGGCTGCACATAGATAGGCAAGGCAAGGCTGAACTACAATTCTAGTGGAGCTGGAAGACAGTTTTGAAAAGCAAGCTGGCAAAACCTGGTGGTGCAGGCCTGTGGTCCCAGCTACTTGGGAGACTACGGTAAGATGACTGACTATAAATTCAAGGCCTGACAGGTTAGACTTTCAGACCAACCTGGGCAACTTAGTGAGGCCAGGGCTTCTAAATCAAAATACAAGGAGGCACAGTGCTCAGTGAAGGAAGAGGGAAGGCAGAGGAAAAGAGAAGGGGGAATGGGAAGGAGAGGGGAGGGAGGGCAGGGGAGGGAAGGGAAGGGAACGGAACGGAATGGAAGGGAAGGGAACGGAAGGGAAGAGGTGGGGGAGAGAAGGAGAAAATAAAATCATGAAGCTGTCAACTGAGATCCCCAACTGATGAAAGTTGGGATTAGGTTGGGCTGTGAGCATGGCCATGGGGGTCGTCTTGATTGTCCATTGATGTTGGAGGACCTGGCTCCTTGTGGACAGCACTACACCCAGGGCAGGAGCTCCCAAACTTCACGAGAGTGTGGAAAGCAAGCTGAGAACACTGATATATGGGATGAACACAGATAGCCAGCTTCTCATATGTCAAAAGAAAATTTCAGGAGGAGACTTAGCCATAGAACCAGCCTGTTGGGCTAAGCAGTATTTGCAGGACTGAGGAACACCAGTGCATAAGATCATATAGAGTCGTATCCTTGTCCTTACAAGTTCCTCAAGAGCCCCAGGCTTCTACTTTACTCAGCCCAAAGCACTCTGAGTAGGAGCAAAGCTGCTTGCATTTTCATTTTGACCTCCTTTCTCCCATGTAACTTGCCCTAGAGCAAATTTCAGACCTTGAATCAAATCTGGCCCCCTGCATGTGTTTATAAAGTTTTATTGTCACGGGGTATTATGCTGCTTCTTAGATGCCCACCAATACTGAGCTGTTGATGCATCAGTATTTTGAGGTAGTGCTCTGGGGAAGTGATTGGATCAGGAGGATACTAAGCTAGTTAATGGTTGAAACCATCAATGGAGTATGAGAACTCTTAAGAGGAAGGGCCTTGTTGGAGGAATTAGGTCACTGGAGGAATGTATGTCTGGGGGTATATTTTACCTGCAGCCTCCATCCTGCTCTCTTCCTACCCCTTGATCTTCTGCCCCACCAGAGCTCTAAGCAGTTGAGTGAGCATGGATTGAGATGGAAACTGTGAACCACACTAAGTCTTTCTTCCTTTAAGCTGAACTTCTCGGGTATTTCCTAGCAATGACAGCTAACACACACTCAGTCCCATCCATGCATGTATGCAATACCTATGACCGCATTCAAGCTACAACTGCACAGGGCCAACATGCTGCCAGTATTTATCATACAGCCTTTAGGGAAAGGTTATGAACCTCTGCCCTGGGGCTTTGTTTCTTTTCCAGGTGCTATAATGACAAAATGCCCCACTAAAAGAAACCTGGGGAGAGGGTTAATTTTAGCTTCCAATTCCAGGCTGTAGTCAGTCCACCAGGGTGGGTAAGTGAAGGCAGTAAGAGCTTAACCCAGCTAGTTCCATCACACGCACTGTCAGGAGCAGACAGTAAATGAACGTGTGCATCCTTGCTCAGCTTGCTGTCTTTGCTTTGTATAGTTCAGGTCCTAAGAAATGGTGCCAACTCCAGTGGGATGGGAGGCGACATCAACCAACATAATCAAGACAATCCCCCACAGACTTGCCCACAGGTCTATGTTACCCAGACAACCTGTCAGTGATATACTTCTCCACCAGTGACAATGTGGTGTGCTTAGGAAAGGGCCTTGATGAGGCAATGATCAGAGAACTTTGACTTTGAAGAGAAAACTAGAAATACAAGACAAATGCAAGCATGTACATGAAGACACAGACACAAACACAAATATGGTTATACTTATTTGATATGCAAGGTTGGGAGATGGCTTGGTAAGTAAAGTGTTTTGCCCCTCAAGCCTGAGTTAGGTCCTCAGAGCCTACATAAAACATGGACACATTTACAGTCCCCGCTGTAGGGAGGTGGAGGTATGAGGAACCTGAATCAGTGAAACACCTATGAAAGGCTCTGTCTCAGGGGATGATGCCTAAGGTGGTCCTCTGTGCTCCACACATAAATATACAAGTGCATTAAAAAACTCAGGGGCTAAAGACATGGATGGCTATGTGGTTAGGAGCACTTGCTCCTCTTGAAGATGACCCAGGTTTAGCTCCCAGCACCCATGTATTGGTTCACAACCAACTGTAACTCTGGGTCCAGGGGATATAACAACCTCTTCTGGGGCTCTTGGGCACTAGGCATGTAAGTTATGCACATACACACATACAGGAAAACACTCATATACCTAAGATTAAAAATTTATGTAAATGTATACATGTAGAATGCATGACACATGTAGAGGCACAAATGTATGCAAACATAAGCAGATATGTAGGCATGTAAATATGTAAGTGTGCGTCCAAAATGCAATATGCAAACACAAGCCTATATGTAAAGGCAGGCTATACAAACATACATGTGGGCATAATGCATGCAAACCCAACCCATACTTATATACCTGGGACAAAGAGACACAAATATATATATAAAGTGCAAAGCCTTTTGAATGAACTCATCACAGTCTCCACCTCTTCTCTATACTTACAGTCTCTCAGGACAATTATCAGGTGGATCCAGATAGCCTCCATCCATGACAAATTTCAACACCTGTTCATTAGACAGGCCTTGGTAAGGTTGCTCAGCCAGGCTGGTGATTTCCCAAAGGACCACGCCAAAGGACCTGCCAATGACAATTGAGAAAAGTTAGCAAAGGAGCCAATGAAACTCACACATGCCATCTCTCTCAAACACATTCATCCAGACCTCTTTTGTCTTACTAGAACTTGGTTGGCCAATTAATGAAACAACTGACAGATTGAAGCAATAGCTCAGTTGCCAAAGTGCTTTCCACAAAAGCATGACTCTCAAAAGCCTGGATGCTCAGACCAGATCAGCAAGGTATCTCAGTGTGCACAGGCTCCTGCTGCCAAGCCTAATAACCCAAGTTAGATCCCAAGGACCCATATGGTGGGAAGAGAGAACTGAGTGCCATAAGTTGTCCTTTGACCTCCACACATGTGCTGTGGCATGTTCCCGCCATCAGACACACTCACACCCCTATCTATGTGCGAGTGGGTGTGTTTTGTTTAAAGCACAGCTAGCTGGGGAGATGACCCAGTGGCTCATGTGCTCAACCTACAAGTCTGAGGATAGAAGTTCAAATCTCCAGTTGGGCACAGTAACCTAGCTGTAATTCCAGCCTCAGAAGGTAGAAACAAGAGATCCCTAGAGCAAACTGGCTAGCAAGAGCAGCCGCTGCATCTTGACTAGCTCTGGGTTTGATTGAGAGACCCTGCCTCAGTAAATAAAATGAAAGAGCAGTCAAAGATAACATCCAATATCAGCCTCAGACCTCTTCAGGCATGAGCACACACGTGAATGCACACTTGGTATGCACACACAGGCAAACAATCATACACACACACACACACACACACACACACACACACACACAAATGGGGGGGTGGGGGGAAGCTGGGGAATGGTGGTGAGCACTTGTAATCCCAGCACAGGGGAGACAGAGTCAGGAGGATCCTGAGATCTCTGACCACCAAACCTAGCCAACTTAGCAAATTGCAGGCCAATGAGAGACATTGTCTTAAAAAACCAGGCATGGCACCTGAGAAGGAACTCTGCCAGGCTGCCATCTGCCTTCCACATGGACACATGTGGACGCACTGTCGTGGGATATGTGTACACTGTGTGAAGACACAGTGCTGTGATTGGTGTGATAAAGAGCTGAACAGCCAATAGCTAGGCAGGAGGCATAGGCAGGATTTCTGGGGAGAGAAAGGAGGAGGAGGAGGAATCAAGAGGCAGGAGACAGGGAGAGAAAACAGGAGGTGCAAGATGGAAGAGAGGCAATGCCACATGATAGCATGTAGATTAATATAAGGGGGCTAATTTAAGTTATAAGAGCTAGGTAGGAACAAGACTAAGCTATAGGCTGAGCTCTCTGCATGAGTATTTGGCAGCTGGCTAGCGGGACAAAGAAAAACTCCTTACAGTACACAAATGTGCGCGCACACACACACACACACACTGATTTACTTTATAATACAAAAATAAATTCTTCTAAAACCATTCTCAATCAATACATAAGGGTAGACAGGTAAAAGAACCAGAAAGAACCATGTTCATGTCAGCATGTGAAGGGCAGGCTTCCCTCTACCTCCTCCTGCTGAGCACATTAGTAGGACTCCTGCAGGAGTTCAAAGCCAGTACAGACATTCACCCATGCATGCATGACTCACCACATATCAGAAGAAGCGGTAAACACTCCATCCTTCAGGGACTCAGGTGACATCCACCGCACGGGCAGCAGGCCCTTGCCCCCTTTCCGATAGTAATCTGTCTCGTAGATATCCCTTGTCATTCCAAAGTCTGACAACAAACAGTACACATGTTTTTTCAGTTCATCAATCTAGCATCTCGAGTGCTCCACCCCTCACAGCACCACTAGAGGGGGTAGGCAAATTCACCAAGAGAGAATAATGGGGCTGTACCTGAGGCTGTGGAAGGAGAACAGGACTACCATGTAAAGAAAGGGGAAAAGAGGTCCCAAGTGATAAAGAACCAACAGTCTGGCCTGAAACTCTCATCAACTCACTTTTCACACCTACTCCTTCCCCAGTATCCCAGAACTTTCCCCTTTTTCCTGCTGCTTCCCTAACTCAGCTACTCGCCCAAAATCCAAAGTTGAGGGTCTCCTTTTGACCCTGCCTTTGGCTCACACCCCTAAACAGTGGGTAACCAAGCCTTTCTGCCTCTACATCTCTGTCTAAGCATCTCACTTCTACTGCCTTTGCCCATCCAGGCTCACCCCCAGCTCTCTGCTGTGCATCCTCCCACTACACAGGGTAGTCATGTGGATAGAATCACACCCCTTGCCGTTCCCGTTGCTTTTGTCTCTTTGCTTTTTGAGCAGTCTCACATATTCCAGGATAGCCTTGGACTTGCCATGTCACTGAGAATGACACTAAGCAAGATCTTCCTGCCTCTACCTCCCCCAAGTGTCGGGATACGTGCATCACCACACCAGGGTTTGGGGGGGGCTTTGTTGTAAATGTAACAGGTCTTCAGGATCATAAATACAGAATCATGTCCCATCTTCCTTCATATAGTCCATGTAGGATAACGTCTTTGGGTCACATGCCTGCATGACTCCCATTCTTATGTAGAAGAATATCTCTTGGAATCACACATAGGTTCACCTCCCTACTAGCTCCCATAATTAATGTTTAGGGGAGGGATCTTATGAGATCTTCATGAGACCTTGCCTCTTCCCGATTCTCACAGGTTTTGTAGAGAGGCAAGTCCTGTGCGTTAGGAGGCTCTTTCATGCCTGCTTCTTGGCTTTCAGCTCAGCATCACATCTCATTGTCCTGGGCCCTCCTGTCCTATCCACACAGCCCAGCCAGACATCTAGGCACTGGGCATCTGTTCCTGCTCTCTCCTTCTTCTGCATTCTCTGGCTCAACCTTGAGTCTTGTACTGGAAAGTGATAACTGTCGCCTCCACACAGGCTGGAGTCACCTGAGAGGAAAGCTTCTATTAAAGAATCACCTAGACCAGACTGGCCTCTGGGCATGTCTATAGGGGACAATCTTGATTGTTAATTGATACAGAAGGGCCCAGCCCACTGTGGGCAGAACCATTTCCTTGGCAGACCCTCCTGAGCTATATGTGAAAGCCAGAGAAGCATGAGCCAAAGCAAACCACCAAGCAGCACTCTCCCGTGGTTTCTGCTTCAAGTTCTTGCCCTGACACCTTCAGCGATGGACAACAAGTGAAACAAACTCCTTCCTCCCCAAATTGCTTTACTTATTTATTTATCTACTTACTTACAATAGAAATAAGACAGGAAACTACAATAGAAATGCAGACTTCTGGGGTAGGAAAGTGCCCAGAAGTGGGTAAGAGTACTTTTGAGGTAAGCATGAGGATCTGAGTTCTGAACCTCAGAACCTGCCATTCTACCCACACCCTATAACTAGCACACACACACACACACACACACACACACACACACACACACACACAGTCACTAAAGGATTCCAAGACACACCTCCAATTTTGACGGTAAAATCGTGAGCAACCATGCAGTTTCGAGCTGCCAGGTCCCGATGCACAAACTTCTTGGCATTCAAGTATGCCATGCCATCAGCAATTTCTGCTGTCATCTGAATCATTTCTTGCAAGGTAGGGGGAGGACGGCCTGGGTTATTCTAAAGTCAAAACATGGGTTGCAATTAGCTCTCTGCTGCCATCTAAATCATGTCTTGCAGGTGAGAGAATAGCCAGGGTTGCAAAGTCAAAATATGCACTTAGAGAAGTTGGTACACTTTAGAGCAGGTGCCCTGCTAGAGACCTAGGGGCAGCTCACCTCAGCATCCGGTCGCAGAGAACGGAGGTGACTCTTCAAGTCTCCATGAGCCATCAATTCCATCACTACCAGTGTTGGTTGGCCCTTGGACACCACCCCAAGGAGGCGGACCTGCAGAGGAAACATGGAGGTGATTCAAAGAGGGTCCAGGTATTATTTCAGATCACCATGGACTCTCTGTCTGGTGCCCACAGCACACAGGTCACCCCGTGTCTGGATGAAGCATGGCCAGCACTGATATAGAGAAACAAACAGACCCACTCATGTATATGGGCATCCCAAGCAAATCTCACCTATTTGATGTTCCTCCATGTATGAACCATGTTCTTACCTCCAGATCTTTGCAGTTTCTGCTCTCCCTGACCTGTCCCCTCTCGTGTATACATGGTTCAGTCTCACATCCTTTAAGATTTTGCTCAAATACACTCCGCAATCCTTTTCCTCTTTCTTTTTCCAATGTCTCCTAGCATTTTCCCCCTAACATGCCATTCACACATCTAGCTGGGGAGAAGTCTTCCTTGTAGTAGAATATCTAAGAGGGAGATCAGGAACCTGCTTCAACATCAGTAAGAGCAGGGCATGTAGGAGCTAATACACAGCAATTTCTTCTGAATTGAAGCATTCCATCCTGGAAGGGAGCTTAAAACTGAGGAAGTAAACAATTGACAAGTCTAAGAAAGTTCCTAAAATTTGTAAGATTCACAAGACCACCACCACCCCTTTCCAAGGTTATATTAATAGTGAAAGCTCTAGAAAGAATAGATTCTCTATCACTCTAGATACCTGCAAATTGCGCAGAGAGCTCTGAGATTCCCATTTTCATGAGTTATAACTTATGACAGGGTGGGCTTTTTGGAGCTGCAGCTACCTATGCATTTGGTCCATGCTCCTATAAGTACACCCACACTCTTGAAAGTTACAATAGACTCATTGGTTCACCAAGTAAAGTTCTAAGGGAATCCTTTCTTTGGTTTGTCACGTATACCCTATCACAGGTGAATAATTTTTTTTCACTTCTCCGTAGTAGAAGTCATACAAAAAGGGGTCCCTAAATATGCCTGATAGGAATAAAAGAACACAAGGCTCAACAAGAAATAAAGAGCCCACACTGGGAACAGAAAGGCAGGGAAGGTTTACTTTTGGCTTCAGGGAGAAGCAAGAATGGGGGCAGGTACAAAGGGGGATGGTCTTCCATAAGGTTAAGGGTTAAAGAGAAGCAAAGAAGTGGAAAGAAATGTAATAATATAAAAATTGATGGGAAAGTCTGAAAAGCAAAGGAAGATTCTAGAAAGTGACAGAATAGTTATAGAGTTTGATTCCAGGTAAGTTGGGAAAGATAAGGCAGAGAAGGGAGATGTCACCTCCTACCTCTTTAGGATGGATGGCTTAACAGGATGGAGGGTGAGCATCAGTCTACACCCAGTTTCCTGGGTAGCTCTAGGGAGTGGAGGCAAGTTAACAAGGAGCATGAAAGGAAACCTCTGTCCCATCCCAGCCAGACTCACCACATGATGGCAGGTGAATCCCTTCATGACTGATGCCTCGTTGAGGAACTCGATCCGTTCTCGGAGACTGGCTGACTCATTGACAGTCTTCACCGCAACTCGGGTCTCTGCCTCGCCCTTGATGATATCCTTGGCATTGCCCTCATACACCATACCAAAGGATCCCTGCCCCAGCTCTCGTAGGAGGGTGATCTTCTCTCGAGGCACCTCCCACTCATCCGGCACGTACACAGAAGAAGGAAACACTACTTTTCACTTATCTACACAGCATTCTCAGCCAACCTCTTAAGGGCCCCCAGACACCTCCCACCATAACTTTTTTCTTGAGCTACATACAAATATTCACTCATCCTGTGACTCAACACTTCTACTGAGCATTGGATATACAACCCAGAACAGGACAAGCTCTCGCAACCATCAAGGAGATGGCAGAAGCTATGGAATGAGGGACAGCTAGTCCAGGATCCTGCTTAGGAAGCACTAAGACGGTCCTGAATGCCCATCTTTCCTGCCTTGACTCCGGACCCTGCTATCGGATAATGCCTCTTCCTGTGATGGTTAATACTTTGAATTCCATAGAATCTAGACTCACCTAGGAGGCAAGCCTTGCAAATGTCTATGGAGGAAGCTTTTAGATTAAGTTACTGAAGTATAAATATCCACCCCAAATGTGACAGATCATCCTATAGGCTGGAATTCTGAACCGAATAAAAAAGGCAAAGGGAGCTGAGCAACAGCACTTGCCACGCTCTGCTTCCTTGATGGTGGCGCGAGCTTGTCCTCTTCCGGGTTGTATACCCAAAGTAACCAGTTGCCAAGACGTCTGCTCCATAAAGAACTGCACCCTCAAACTGTGAGCCACAATGAGCCCTTAAGTTGCCTTTGTCAAGTCTTCTATAACAGTACTGACTAAAAATAATTTAGAAACTTGCCATTGAAGATATTTGATCAAGTGCCAATGGAATGGTGTGTAAGTTAAAATAGACTGGGGAAAATGTGTCTACAATGCTTAGCAATCCTTCCTAGATTCTTAGCAATCCTTCCTGGTAGATTCTCTGTCCCCACTCCCCGGACTCCTTCAGGGCCTTCTAATCCTCCTCAGTCCATAGGACTCAGCAAGAAGATGCCCTGTAGCCCACCATTAGGAACCCACAGAGCATGCTAGGGAAGGGCACAAGGCAAGAGACCACACAGAGGGAGAGATTTAGGCAGCTGTAGCTATGGCTAAACCTTGGGACCACCCAGCCTGCTAAACAACACACAAGTGAGTGGGTCTATCCAAGGTAATAACCTACAGACCCAATACATTCATATCTTGAAAGTCAAATTTTGATTGTATTACCTGAGGAACTTCAAAGAAAACGTGCCATATTACGAAAGTCTTGAGAAATAGGCATGCCATCCCTCTAGAGGTCACTCACTGTCCTTAGGGACAGTTAGGAGTCACCAAATTCCCACCATCAGCATCAGTTCAAATTCAGCTACCACCAAGAGCAAGTGTCTCCCTAGACTCACCCAGGCCCTACCTGCCCCATCCTATCTTCACTTCTTTACTGTGTGTGTGTGTGTGTGTGTGCGTGTGTGTGTGCGCGTATTTGTGTGGGGGCATGCATTTATGTGCAAGGACACATATGTGCTCATGCACATGAAAGTCAGAGGCTGACATCAGGTATCTTCCTTGATCACCCTCTACCTTCTTTTTTGAGGTATGACCTCTCACTGAACCAAGAGCTCACAGACTTGCTACTGAGCCCCATTTCTCTGCGTTCCCAGTACAGAAATGACAGGTACATATCACAGCACCCAGACATTTACACAGACACTATAGGTCATACTCAGTCCTTAGGTGTGGGCAGTAAAATTTGACCCACTGAGTTATCTCCCAATGTTATTATCTCTCCTTCTCTTCCCTTAGTATTCTATCATGGCTTCTAATTCCTACCTTCTCAGCAAGGATGACAAATTTTGTGATGGGTTTCTGGCACTGACTTTGACACACTCCTATGGCTGTGGCACGAGACTTTTAGTCTCACATTCCAGCCTGAAGGTCCCAAGAGAGTGATATCAACCCATTCAAGCAGGTCCAGATAACAGACCTAACATCACAGAGCAGCAGAGTCTCTGCAGCAAGGGCACATAGGCAAGTTCAGCACTCGAGGGGGCTTCTCCCATTCTCCCATTCTCTCTGAAATGGTTTCTCCTCCTCTCTGTGATGCTAACCAACCCTCAGATCTGACTTAACAGTGTGGCATAGGATACTCAGGGCAGGGTTCAGCTTCCCACAAAAAAGGGGAGTGGTACTCACCATCACTGGCACTGAGGTACTCAGGGTTTGAAGATGCATACAACGGTCCCATTGGTCCATCTGGCTGCCTAGAGGAGGAAAAGACAGACATACTAGTCTGAGCATGCCATGGCATTCTGGATGCTAAAAATAGGCAAACAATACATATCATGAATGGATTTGTTGTTCTACATTTTGTCTGATTTAGAGAAAATGAGAGACAAAAGTGTTAATTAGTGTCCAGGTAAACCTTACTGTCAACCTAACAATGCCTAGAGTCACCTAAGAGGAGATGCCTCAATTGAGGAAGTGTCTAGATCATGTTGTCTGTGGACATGTCTAAGAGGGTATGTTTTGTTAAATAATAATGCAGGAGGGCCAGCCTGCTGCAGATGACATCACCCCTCGGCAGGTGGTCTTGGGCTGTATGAGAAAGCAAGCTGACCAGGAGTCAGTGAACAGCAAGCAAACCTTCCTCCATGGGTTCTGCTTCAGGTGCCTGCCCTGACTGTGACCTGAAAGTGTAAACTAAAAGAAACCCTTCTTCCCCAGGTTGCTTTTGGTAAGATCATGTCATCAGAACAACAGAAAGGAGCCTAGAACAATAAAGCACACTGAATTAAAAAAAAAGTCAGTTCTGCAATGATGACATGATAAATGACACAAAAAAACTGTTCTGCCCCTGATTTGACAAAGGTAGTGCTTGTAGTTTTCAAATATGTATGTTTCACTTCATTTTTGTCTGACTCTTTAATGTAAGGGGAAATGAAGCTAATGTAGATGGGGTGGTGCACATCTGTAAACCTAGCATTTGGAGGCTGAGACAGGAAGATCACAAGTTCAAGGCCAACCTTGGTTATTCAGCAACACCCTACCTGAGAAAGAAAGAGCAAAGATAGAACTGGACATCATCGGGTTAAGCAAAATAATCTAGACTCGGGAAGACAAAGATAGCTATAAATTACATAACAGTAGATAGGGCGCTAGGAGGAGCGAGGAAGAGGTTCACAGGGAGGAGAGTGCCAGAACAAGAGGATAGCAGGAGATAAAGACAAAATGGTACATGATTTCTTTCATATATATGTAAACTATACATATGAATATGTGTGTGTGTCATATATATGTGACATGCAAACAGAAAGGGACTAGAGGAGGAGGAAGGAGCAAGGGAGGGCATATGTAAGGAAATATAGTGATGTATACATATAATAACATCATAATGAAACCCATTATTCTGTAAGCTATCTAAAACAGTAAAACAAAAAACCAACCAACCAATGTTTATACTCCATTGTGACGTGAGTATGACAGGATCAAACATGAAATGTATGAGCACTCAGACCTCCTTGGAGCTGTTTTGGAAAGTTTAGAACTTTTAGGAGGTGGAGCTGTGATGAGGAAGCGTGCCACTGAGGACAGGCTTAGAAGTTTGCCAACCCAGGCCCACTCTCTGTTCTCTCTCTGTTTGCTGGGCTCAATGAATTCCGAACGACTGGGGTCGTACTCTATACCCAGGTCATGTTTGAATTATACTTCCTCATCAGTTATGACCCTAGATTGGCTGCAGATACTAAGCTCTGGGTAAAAATATGTCAATGGAAGCATGCAAGGAAAATCAAAGAACTAGAGGGGATTTGTAATCAAGAGTATATTATAGTATTACACAGTAAACTCACTACCATGAGTTGCACGTAGCACAGCTATATGAGTCAAACTTAAAAGAAACTTAACTCTGTCTAATTCAGTATTTATGTTGTTCATTTGTTTGTTTGTTTTATCTCCAAGAGAGTTAGTTGCCAGCATACAATCTTGCTTACCTCTTTCTCAGGAAGAGATAAATACTTCCAATCACAACACTGAAGAGGAAGACAAAGATGAGCGGCCCGATGATAATTTTGGCAATATTTGATGGGACATCTACTGCAACAGAAGAAGAAGGTACGTGTTTAGCATCAAAATACATTGAAAGCAAAAATTACCCCATTAAACACTGGCTGTTGTTATCTCAGCACCTGGTGTTGTGGTGGGGACTGCAGCAGGGCTATAAAGCAAATTCCTAGGCTATTTCCAAGCAAGACATGGCATTACATACATGAACCCACAGCATGTGGGAGCCAAGGCAACTGATGGCTGCTAGGAGAGGAAGAGTCGGTTTTCTTTCAGGACATGGCCGATGAGGAGCTACTCTATTTCAGTAGATGGCCCTACACCTGATGTACACAGTGGCAACACTAAGAGGACTCAGTGTTTTTGTTCATTTATTTGTTTGTTATAAAAAGCACATGCAGTTGAAAGGACAAAGTAGTGGAAGGTGACTCACTCAATAGAAAGCTTGCATTGTAAACATGAGGACCTGAGTGACAGCCCCAGAGAAAACCATGTGAAAAGCCCAGGCATGGTGCTATATACGTTATTCAAAGTCCTAGGGAGGCAGACCCAGGCAGACCCCTGGGGCTTGCTGGTCAATGCAGGTCCTTGATTGGCTGAGCCATCTCCCAGCTCGTGTGCCAAGTCTTGGCTATTGCTTCATCATGACCTCTGTCACAAGTTCTGTCCTGAGAAATCCCACTTTGAGCTTCCTTTGTTTTCCTGCACTTGCTGGCCCCTAGCCCATAGGATATATTTGTAAATATAGGTGGATGAATGAAACTTGGGAAATGAAAGTAGTCTAGTTACAAGCCTTGTGTCCCTGCCTCCTCTCTTCTTCTTTAAGAGAAGGAAGGCTAGAATCAAGACAAGGCATTCTGAAAAACTATAAAAATGAAAAGTTTTAAGTTTTTAGAATTTTAAATTTTAGACAGATATACAATGTATCTTAATCAGACACCCCATGATTTATGACTTTAAAGTATATACTTTATTGCTAATGTCAGTGTGTGTGTGTGTGTGTGTGTGTGTGTACAGATTTATGTATACTACTGGCCTATGGAGGCCAAGAGGTCTATATCAAGTGTCTTCCTCTATTATGTTCCTTTTTTTTTGGTTTGTTTGTTGTTTCTTTTGTTTGTTTTGGGGAGACAAGATCTTAGTGTGTGGCCCTTAGTCTGAAATTCACTATGTAGACCAGGCTAGCCTGGAACTCTGCCTGTCTGAGTCATTTCTTCTATTTCTTTCCTTTTTAAGACTGTAATATGATTACATCACTTCTCAGCCCCCTTTCCCCTCTTCAAACCCTCCAATATACCCCTCCTTGCTCTTCTCTTTCTTTTTTGAGGCACGTAGGGCTGGTTATATTACAGTTTCTGGTAGACCCAAAGTTAAAGCACCATTGATCCTTCCCTTGGGGTCATTCTCTAAAATGTTCTACCATTCCTACAGCACCAAACACAGCTCTAGCCACTTGAGGTTGTCATGGAGACTTACAATAATCGGTCACATAAAAATAGGTGGGTTCTGTCCAGGAGCCATTGCCTGCCAGGGAGGTAGCCCGGACTCGAACACTGTAGTTTCCTGGGGAGAGCCCTCGAAGCCTGCAGCCCCGCTCCAGGGCAAAATGCTTCCGGGAGACACAGAGGTGCAGCTCCTGGAAGAAAAAAGAAGATGGTTAGTTGAGTTTTGCACATCTGGGTACATCCCTGCTTGGTGGGGGACATCATAGTTAGGATCCCACTCAGGTGAAGCAGAGAGAGTTAAAAGGAAGACAAGAGTCTGACCTGTCAGGGGCTTTGAGAATTCATTTAGTTCTTTCAGTTTTTATTTGTGGACAGGGTGGGGTTGCTGCTTTTACTTTCTTAAGACAGGGTTTTGTGTAACTCAGGTTGGTCTCCAACTCACAGGTGATTTGGAGGCCAGTTCTCTGCTACCTAGTCCCCAGTCCCTCACTGGGAGATTCTCCTCAGCAAATGCTCTACCCTGAGACATACCCCAGCTCCTTACTGTAGTTGAAAAGCAATAACAGAGCTGTCATTCAGGTGGCAAAGACCTTGTCTAACATGCCATGATGCCCTGGGTACCCCCCCAGTCCCACATAACCACACTGGAATCCATGCCTAACCACCTGCATAGAAAGACAGAGGCCAGAGTGCAGAAGTTCAAGGCCATCCTCACCCACATTAGCAACATAAAGAAATTTGAGGCTAGCCTTGTCTCAAAACAGAAGAAAACTAATACTAAGAGTTGGCATTCCACTGAAGATCTATTATGATAGGTCATAAACAAATTGTGGGCGATCAAAAGAAAACAAAACCAAGCACTGGTGGCACATGCCTTTAATCCCAGCACTCAGGAGGCAGAGGCATGTGGATCTCTGTGAGTTCGAGACAGGCTCCAAAGCAATACAGGAAACCCTGTCTTGAAAAAAAACAAAAAACCAAACCAAACCAAAAAAAAAATTGGGAGCACACAACCCTGATGAGCATGCAGCCAGAGTTTCAGAAACCCAGGGATCATTAGGAGTGAGGCCAGGCTCACCAGACCCAAAATTCCAAAACTTTCCAAACAGTTCCATCACTCACCTATCAAGCAAGAACCAGGCTGGGTAGGGAAGAGAAAGAAAAGGTAAGAACCCCTGTGCTCATCATGTGACATTAGCAAGGAGAAAACTAACGAGCTGGGCTAGATAGCACAATGTGAGTGGAAAACTCAGTCCTAAAGTTCTTCCCAAGTGAATGAGTCATCAAGCAGAAAATGACAGAAAAACAACTACAGGAGCCCAGGACGGCTGCTGACGGTACAAGGGGAGAACCATCTCAAAGGCTAGGTAATTACCACAGATACCTCCATGGGCAGAGCAAGAATGCAACGAGAAGATCTCCATGAACACACTACACAGAGACATACACATGCATAGAGACACACAACAAACACACACAGGTACATACTATATGCACAGAGTTACAGACGCACTACACATCATATACATACATGCAGAACACACACACACACACACAAAAAATGAGCTGGGAAATTTAACTTCATGTTCTGAGTCACTGTTAAAATACCACCTTTGGGTGCCAAAAAAAGATGCAGTGGCAGGAGGAAAGGGTCCTCAGAGGACTCCTATCTGTTTATGAGGATTTATTATACTTTACTAGAACTTTCAAAGTTCCATGAAGTCAGTTCTGCTATATTAAGGGCACATACATAGATAAACTTGGCCCACCACCTGTTTTTATAAGTTTTACGGGCACACAATGACATTTACATAGGGTTCATGCTGCCTTCAGGGTACAATGGCAAAGTATGTCTAAAACAAATTATTGTCAATCCTGAAATTATATTCTCTGCCTATGTAGTTATTGTGAATTCTAATTACAAAGGCTATAGGGAGAGAGACAAGACACCATGAGGCAAAAGAACTTATGAATATAGTCACTGTATATATAAAACATATGGGAATATGTTAGCATGTTTGCAAATCTATAAACCTTGCTGAATTCTATCGAACTCCAGAGCCCAGCATGTCCAGTCCCCAGAGAAATCGCTCACTTAGTAAAGTGCTTGCCTCACAAACATGAGTGTCCAGTGGAGACCTGCAGCACCCTGGGAAAGGGAGTGTTCAACTCTCAGTGGCCCCTCTGGCAGCGTAGAGGCAACTGTAACCTCACTGAGTGTCAGCTCACAGTGGGCCCTTGGGAAGCTTAGATATGACTTCACAGTCTCTACTGGACTCTTACTATCTCTGCATGCTCACACCAAACCCTCCATGTCTGGTGTAGCAAGGAGGCAACATAAAAGTTTTAAGTGGCACATTCCCAGACTGACATGAATCCCTCTCTAAAGTGAGATGAGCCTCATCCTCTGATAAGGGACACAAATGTAAGCAGTGCATCAACCAGCCTGAAGGACACCGCTGAAAACCCACATGCAAATGATGAAAGACTGGGTCAGCAAGATGGCTCCCAAGAGAGCACCTGAAGCAAAGCCCAATGACCTGAGTTCAATCCTCAGGACCCACACAGTGGAAGGAGCAAGCCGACCCCCAAAAACTGTTCTCTGGTCTCCTTAAGCAGAGCAGGCTATGGCATGGCCACACACTTCCCTACGCCTTTATACACAGTAAATAAATGTAAGGTTTAAAAATTTTAAGTGATAAAAGATTCTAAATCAGACTTTCTGTCCACCTCCCTGGGAAGACGTTCATCAAAGCTGCAAACTCTAATAACACAGCATCTGATGTGGGAAGCATTGAGTACCTTGAGAAACTTAGAAAGTTCCTGCCCAGTATTGTGCAACTTCAGACAAATTAAAAAGTTCTAATCTGGAAGGAAATTCCTTGAGACTCAAAAAATTCTAAAAGGGAGCTCTGTAAGGATAAGGAAGTCAACAACTCACAAGACTCAGGAAGTCCCTGAAACTTCTGGGATTCACAAGGCCTCGCCTTCCCTAAGGTTATGTAGGCAGGACTGCTGAGGAGAGGAGACTTACTGGGAGAGCTGCCTGAAAAGTCCTGCAGAGAGAGCCAGGGTTCCATCTTTCATGAGTTATCATCCACACTGGGGGTGGGCTTTTGATGCATCTGCCCTTGAGTCATCCCCATGCCTATAAGTAAGCCCTCAGCCATACTATTTACTGTAAATAACTCCCAATAAAAAGTCATTGGCTCACAAAGTTAGATTTTGGCCATGTCCTTACTTTGATCTGTCATTGGTTCCTACTTGTTCACATCTCCCCCAGAACAGCACCATACAACATCAAGACCTGGAATCCTTACCTCATCACCATAGCGCCGGTAGCTCACTTCATACAGCACGATCAGACCATTGGGCTCCTTTGGCTCTTGCCACATTAAGTGTACAACATTGTTCTCAAAGATTTCATGGGTCACAGGGCCAACGATGTCATCTGCCTTAGCTATGAGAAGCAATTAAAGGTTCAGATATTAACTCTTGAATCAAATTCTATCCCTGCCCCCCAAAAGCTGAGAGACCTGGTTGGAGCTGGCTATGTAATTTTTCCAAGTCTTATTTTCTTCAATAGAAAATAATATAAAACTCATGGAGAAGATAACTCAGTCAATAAAACCCAAGTTCAGTACTCAGGGCCCACATAAAAGAGCTGGAACATAGTTTTCTGGTAATTCCAGTATTGAAAAGATAGAAGCAGGCAGATCCCTGGAACTCACTGATCAGCTAGCCAGACCTAATCAAGTACCAGGCCCAGGGGAGACCCTGTCTCAAAACAACAAAGTGCATGGCACCTGAAAATAGAAGTCCAAGGTTGATGTTTGGCTTCCACATACACAGACACACACATGAACACACACAGAGAAAAGATTGAGATATGGTGTGTAATGTTTAGTGTTGTCAATCTGACAGGATCTAGAATCACAAGAGGGATGGGAATCTGAGCTTGCCTGTGAGGGATTATCTTGATTGTGTTAAGTGAGCCGGAAAGACCCACTTCAGGTAGCACCATTCCCTGCTCAGGATCTAGACTGTATAAATGGAGAACGCTCTTCTCATCTTCTGACTGTGGATGTGATGGAACCAGTTGCCTCAACCTCTTTCTGCACTGACTCCCCAGCCACAGTAAAATGTACCTTGAACTGTGAGCTAAAATAAATCCTTTCTCCTTTAAGTTGCTTTGAGAGAGGAAAAGAACTATAGGAAAAGAAACTAAGGCATAACAGCAAGTCCCAGCTACTCAGGAATACCTTAAGCCCAGGAGATCAATGCCAACCTAGGTAACAAAGGAAGAGCTCCATCTTAAAGCAAGAACAATAAAAGAGAACACTTTTTAGAACACATCTACACTGTATCGTGGGGAGAGGGCTTATCTGTGATGGGTGGGTCTCTGACCTTGTCAAGTAGCCCAGAGGAAAGTAAGCCCACCTTCAGGCATGGTTCGGGCACTGACATAGGCAGCCACACTGCACCTCTCATCGGGTGAGTCTTGGTTGCAGGCTTGCAGCTCAATGCGGTAGCCAGTGAAGTGTCTCAGGCCAGAGATGACAAGTGACTCCTTGTTCACCACTTTCTCAAATGGCCTGTGCTCTTCCTGACTCGTGGGAACAACGGTGGAGGAGACGTTGGGAAAATCTGCAAGTGTGGGCATGGTGGCCGTCACATTCCCCACCTCTTCAAGGGATCTTCGTTTTCGGGATGGCCTGTAGGAAGAGAGCATGTGTGGAGGTCATGACATCACCATCTCAGAATAAAATGATACTGGAGAAAGCAATGCTTAATGAATTAAAAAGAAAGAGAGAAAGAGGTGAAGAGGACACAGACTGATTTCCACATAAGTGCCCTTGTCGGAGACATTGCCTATGAAGGAATACCCACACTATGAGTATTCTTGGCTCCAGGGCCACCCCCAAGATCTCCTCAATATGCTTAATTGAAGCTTTCCACTTTTCTGAGGAATGGGACATCAGGGGCAGAGTTACCAAGATTTGGAAAGGATGGAAGAGTGGGTTAGTGTCACAGGTACAACCTACAGTCCCACTAATCAGTTTGTGATGATTATGTGTGAATATGTGTGCCTATGTTGATATGTGTGCAGCTTCACAAGGAGGCCAGAGAACAACCTTGAGTGTTGTTCCTCAGGTGCTGTCCATCTTTGTTTTTCTTTAAAGCACGTGTCTCTCATTGACCTGAAACTCACTGAGCAGGCTAGGCTGACTGGCCACCAAGACCCACGGAACCACCGAGCTTTGCTCCCCCAAGACTGGGTTTACAAACATGAGTCTCCATGCTGGGCCTTTTTTTTTCTTTTATATCTGTTTTTATTTTTAAGTATTTGTATATGTGTAGAGGTATATGCACGCAAATGCAGATACCCTCAGGTCCCACAAGAGGTCATCAGATTCCCTAGAGCAGGAGTTACAGGCAGATGTGAGTCACTTGGTGTGGGTGCTGGAAATTGAACTCAGGTCCTCTGCAAGGGCAGTAAGCCATTTTTATCACTGAGCCCCAGCATATGCCCTTGTTGAAAAGTCATTGGTCTCAAAATATGATCTCTATGAGAACTTTTCAATTACAGCCAGTAATCTAAAAAATTGAGCCATCTTTCCAACCCCTGAAATTTTTTTAAAACTGAAGATCTATACCAACTTCGCTTTGAGCAAGTCTACAAATTGCATGTTGGATTCTTTAGCAAAAAAGGAAAAGGTTTTATTTTTATTTTATTTTGGTAATGCTGGGAATTAAACTTTACTTTTGTAGCACTGGGTAGTGAGTCTTTGTTTTATCTTTTTTATTGTATTTACTTTTGCCGTGCTGAATACTGAGCCCTTTGCTCTGTTGAATTAACTGTTTTGTGTTTGCAGTCCTGTGGGGTCAGCCAATCGCAACTTTTCATTCAATCTCATTTTTGCAGTGAGACAGACTGAACCTAATACTTACTATTTCATGCATTTATTTATTTTGTTTTTTGAGACAGGGTTTCTTTGTGCAGCCCTGGCTGTCCTAGAACTCCCTCTGTAGACCAGGCTGGCCTGGAACTCAGAGATCTGCCTGCCTCTGGCTTCCAAGTGCTAGGATTAAAGGTGTGCGCCACCACCATCTGATTAATTTTGCACCATCCCTGAACCCTCCTCAGATCCTCTGGAACTGGAGTTATGAATAGATGTGAGCTGCCATGTAGATGTTGTGAACTGAATTGTCCCTGCAAGATCAGCCAGTGCTGATCTTATCAATCAATTGGTGACAAGATGAGAAATCCAGCTCAGGGTGTGGGCCACAAAATACTAGACTTTCACTCACAACAGATTATATTCCAACTGGCCACTAGAGGTCAGGTCTAGCCAACAGATCGATAGACAGACAGACAGACAGACAGGCAGACACTGCCAGGAATTCTTGCCTAGTACTGTGAACTCAGTCACACCCTCACCTAGAGAAGACATTTGAGGGGGCGGGGGGACTAGTGTTGTCGAGCAGCCTTCTGTGTTTATTTTTAGACTCTCCATGGATTTGGGCTGCTCTCAGTCTTGGTGGATCAGCGATTAAAGCACTGAAGCTTCACTGTCTGAAGTGCTGACAGAAAGTGATGGCCTGCTGGGACATTGCATTAGCACCTCCCCAAGCCTCTGATGTAAAACCCAGCAAGAGTCAAGCGGTGGGGGACACTGTCCTCTGGGCATGACATGGCCATTGTGTTCACAAACCCACAGCAGCGTGGCTGCTAACACAAGACCAAGCCAGTTAAACTTCCGGGGAGGGAGCACCCCCATCTGAGGAACTATTGGCAGCTGTTGGCTGCTGGGGAAGGGGAGTCATTTTCCTTTGGGGTTGTGACCAGTGGCAGGTTACACATACATCAAAGAGAAGCCCCTCACCTGTTCACAAATGGACAGCACTGACTGGATTCGGTGGGTTAAAAAATCAATAAATGATACACATTTTATTAAATCCTTCAAAGCAGCCCCAACCTGACTCTGCTGTCTAACAATGTCTCGTTCCCCTGTCTGCCTGCAGTTGCTTCCCTTATTGGCCTCCCTAAGACTGAAGAGAAATGGCTCCTCAGCCTCCTGCTGAAATAAGGCAATACTACATTCCTTTAATCGGCCACCTTTTCGTCATATTGGGTTGTCTAGAGATCAGAGACATGCTCATTAGGAATGATTAGATTGGGGTTAGTAAGAAGTAGAATTCCTTACCACCGGAAGCTGAATATCAAACCTCTGGTGTGGTTCTGTGTACACACCGAGCTACTTGTAGACAGATATTTAGTGAGCATGGAGGGGAAATGACCCACTGGGGAGGGACCTGGGAAGTGCACCCTTGATAGCATGTTTTAGGAAGAGTGTGTTAGTTAAAAATTTTCCCGACATTCATGCCCAGATTCCATTTCCCAGTGAAGTATTTAATTGGAGAATTTGTGAAGCATCCAGTCTCAAGAGCTGCTGTTTATCACATGCAAAAAGAAATATAAATAAAGCCCCAGAAATCCCTGATTTTTGGGCTTAGCACCCCCACACTGACTGAACAGCCACAGGGCCATGTGGATGTCCCACAGCTGAGTCATACCTAGTGTCCTCGGCACCATTGCCTGAAGAGGGTTTTCTGTGGAAACAAAATTCATCACTTTGAGGACAGAATTTCAACCGAGGGACCGTTTGACTCTGACATCCTTGAGGCAGTACTCTCTCTCTAAGAAAGAGCACTGTTATGTTTGGGATGTGGCTTGACTAGGTTTTCCAAGGTTCACTTACTGGAGATTGGGTCCTTGGAGTGGTACTAAGAGGTAACAGCAGGAGAGGAGTAATGGAAGAGGAACAGCAGAAGCTCATCACACTCCTGCCTAGTCTATACGGGCTCCTGTATCATGATACCCCTCCCACTCTGATAAATCACCAAACCTGCCCAGATCCAAAACTGAACTTAGCCAATCTTTTTTTTCTTCATAATGCATCCAGTCTCAGGTATGTTATTGTAGTAACAGAAATTAGTCTCTACTAATACTAGTCCTGCCCATCACTGGTCAGTGTGGGGTAAAAAAAAAAAAAAAAAAAAAAACCTATACTTTTCCTGAAGTGCAGGGAATCCAGGAAAAGTGAAAAGAAGTGGCTTTACCTGCTGCTATTCCCATGAATGTCAAATATGACTACACCTAACTATCAGCAATTCAGCCATTTCCCCAAGTCCAGCATCATTTAAGACTTTACTGTTTGTAGAATGTGTGTCTATGTATGTGTATGTGTTCACAAGTGTGTGTGTGTGTGTGTGTGTGTGTGTGTGTGTAGGTCAAAGGACATTCTTCTCACCTTCTGAGACAGAGACTCATTGTTCTGGAATGTGAAAAGTTGGCTGAGATGGCTAGCCAATAGAACCCCAAGGATCCTATGCTGTGGGATACCTTCTTAGCTATGGGACTACTAGCAATTGTCACCACACCTGGCTCTTTTAACATGTGTTCTATGGATGGAACTCAGATCCTCATGGCAGCACAGCAAGCTCTTTACTGACTAAACCATCTCTCCAGCCTACTTTTTTGGACTCAGTTATCACAGAAGATATTATAAAGAAAGAAAAAATGAACTCAGAGGTTCTAAAGACAAAACTACTCATGAAAACTACTAGTAGACATTGGACAAACACATCAGAACTTTGTTCAGTCCCAACATAGACTTTCTAGAGTTCGATGTGCTCTGGAAATGGAAAATTCCATCTGATTTGGGAGATTGGTGGGTAGGGGAGAAATCTGATGAAGAATGTGAGGGAAGGAGACAAAGATGGAAAAATACAAAAAGCTCTGCAGAAGGCATATTCAAAGTTCATGTCCTTGGAAACATCTCAAAGTTTCTGGAAACATTTCTGGTTGTCATATCTGGAATAAGAGGTACTACCAGAATTGAGTAGCTGGGGACCAAGAATGCTGGTCAGTACCCTACAATGCCCAGAATGGGTCCCATCACAGAGAGTGACCTGGATCCAAGAATGCAATGTCATGCTTGAGAGTCCCTGTGTGAATCATTCATGAATACCACCTTAAAATACCAGGTGGAATTACAATGAGCACAGGGGATCCATGAGACCCACATTCTCGGGTTCAACTGACTGCAGAACAAAACTATTTGTAAGCAAGATGTGCCCATTAATGCAACAGTGGCATGAGCATTACAAGAGGTAACCAATTGCTCTCAGGGATTTGAGGCCTGCTCCTCGGGAGGCAATTCATATTTAAACCTGGCCAAATGTCCATGGTTCAGGAAATCATGGGCTCTAATGGGGAACCTACCACCTTTGTTTTGATAAATGAACATGTTTTCAAAATACCCTCAAAATATTTATGTTTATGCACACAGATTAGTGCTGCTCTCAACCCTAATCAGAGAAGCTTCTTTTTACACTTGGCAAAGACTCGTAGCTGATCAAAGTGCTGAGAATAAGTGACTGTTGAGTGGCAGCCCCAAGTGGGCGATCTGTACCAATCCCACTACCATGGCTCAGAAAACAAAACACACAGAAGAGGAAGGGGAAAGAATGTAGGGGCCACAGGGTGGGGAGGAGGGCTGTGAAACGCTGTCTTCTGGACTTGACATGGCCATGGCATCTGTGGTCACCTGAACAAGACCTACACAAGGTCAAGCCAAGGTCACTCAACATTCCAACAGGCAGCACTAACTGGGCCCCGGGAGTCATAAACATGAAGAGAAGGAGGAAGAGGAAGAAGACAGCAACATGAAGGAGGCAGACATGTTGATAGAAGTAAAAGGGGGAGCTGAGGGTCAATGTGATCAAGACACATGTGTACATGTATGAAACTGTGAAAGAATGACTAGAAAGTTGTCATAGTGAACACATACAGGCTTTTTTCTTGCTGTGGTGCCCATGGTACACAATATGGTGTAACAATTATTTATGTAGTATGTGCACTGTCTGAGGATGCTATTAGTTATCTAAAGATGATTTAATATGGGAAGGTTTGAGAGGGTTCTGTGCAGATGCTATGACTTTTACATAAGAGACTTGAGAATCTGTGGGGTAAACTCAGGATCCAGAAGCAATCCGCTGGAGACACCAAAGGTCAACTGTGCTGTGTCCACTGTGCAGATGAGAGAACCGGGACACAGAGCAGTATAGGAAATTACTCAAGCCACTACATATCAGAGGAGAGCCTAAACATTCAGCTTCCAGAGTCCCTGCCTTCAGCAGCTACACCATTCTGTAAGATTATACACACGGGATGGACCTGAGATCCAGGCATGTCTGCTGCTGTTTTCACCTCCAAATCAGGCACAAGAAAAAGAAGAAACCTGTTACCCACAGGTGTATGTGTGTGTGTGCACGCGCGCGTGCGTATGCATACACATGTGTACATGCACATGTGACCCACAAGTGTATTTGTGTGTGTGTACTTATACACATGCGACCCACAGGCACACGGGAGTATGTACACATCACCCACCGGTGACCCATAGGAATATTTGTGTGTGAACATATGTGTGAAAGTGCACAAGTGTGAGCAGCTGGGCGTACATGTGAGGCCAGAGGACAGCCTTGGCTGTAGTTCCTCAGATGCTGTCCACCTTGTTCTATGAGACAGTCTCTCGCTGGCCCAGATGTTGCTAGTTAGAGCAGTCTGGCTGGCAGCAGGTGTAGGAATCCCCGTCTCTGCTTCCCCAGTGCTGAGAATATAAGCACATACCTGGCTTTTTATGTGGGCTCTGGAAACAAAACTCAGTCCTTGTGCTATTAAAGCAAACACTTTCCTAACTGGGCTATTTCCCCAGCAAGCAAGACTATTCCCCTTCCAACCACAGGTACAGGACTGAGCTTAGGCTCCAATCACCTCCCCACACACACAGTCTCTGGAGCTCCCGTCACCTCATTCCCTAAGCAATGGCACCCTTTCTAACACCAGGTTGATAGACAGAAAGCCAGTCTATGACAAGTTCTGACCTGGGGACAAACACCACGTTATGAAGGTAATCCTCGAAGGTCTTCCTGAATGAGGACTCCTCCAGCTCCTTGAGGATCTGAGAGTCAGTCTTGGGGCATGAGCAGCATTCACTGGCTGAGTCGTCATACTCGCTCTGATTGTGCTTCTGAGAATCATCCGATTCAAAGGGTGGGGACCAGGTCCGTGAGGGGAGCTTCAGCCCTAGAGACAGGCAGAGCAGAGGGCTCAGTCTCCCCCAGGGCACACACATACATACACCATACATATAAACACACATAGACCAGACAGAAAGCGCACTCCACACACATACACACACAAAGAGACTAAGGTAGGACAGATTAATAGAGCCTAGGTTCTAGTTTTAGAGTTTTACACACACACACAGAGGCCAGAGGTTCACCTTGAGCGTCATTCCTTAGGTCACAGCCCCAGACCTCCACTGGGGGTTCTAAGCAAGCATTCCATCACAAGTCATGTCTCCGGACCTCTCCTCACTCTTTGAGATTGGCCTTCACTGTATTATGCAGTCTGGCACTGAACACACTCTGCACCCTAGATTGGCCTAGACTCTCATTCTTGCTTCCTCACCCTCCCAAAGTGTCAAATTACTGTCGTATAATACCAAGAATTCCAGAATTGTTATGTGTGCATGTTTGTCTGTATTCTGTGTCTATGTTTGTGTTACATGTATCTATGTACTCTTACCCACGTGGGTAAATACAGATGCCCAAGGTTGATATAAGTATCTTCTACAGTCATTTCTCCATCATCATCATCATCATCACATTAGTTTTATTGGGGAGGGGAACAAGCCAGGGTGCACATGTGGAGGTCAGAGGACAACTTTCGAGAATCTATTTTCTTCTCCACCATGTGGATTCCAGGGAGTAAAGATAGTCTGTAAGTCTTGGCAGCAAGTACCGTAACCTTTGATATAACTTGCCAGTCCTCCATCTTACTTATTGAGACAGAGTCTCTCACTAAACTTGGACCTCATGACTTGCTAGGCTGGCTAACCAGCACACTCCAGGGATAAGGGATCTGCCTGTCTCTGCCTCCCCAACATGATGGTTATAGATGCAGGCTACCACACCCAGATTTTGGTCTATATGGGTGATGGGGACCCAAACTCAGACTGTTATACAGCAAACATTTTAAAATTTGACTATTGTTAGGCCTCCCTATGAGTGTAAGCGTTGTGGGCTGGTGAAATGGCTCTGTGGGTAAAGTGGCTGCCATGCAAGCATAAGGACCTGAGTTCAATCCCCAGCACCCACATGAAAAAAGCAGACATAGTAACACACATCCTACTCTCCACTGCTGGGAAAGCAGAGGCAGGAGGATCCCTGGAACTCACTGGCCAGCCAGTCTAGTCAAATTGTTGAGCATCCAGTTCAGTGACAGACCCTGCCTCAAAAACCAAGGCAGAAAGCCACACAGAAAGACAACCAACATCAACCTCCACATAGCCCTATGTATGTTTCCAGCAGAGTATGAATCTTTGTGTAATGTTTAAAAATGTGTATGTAAACGCTGGGGAGTTGGATGGCTCAGTCAGACTCCAAACATGAGGAGACATATGTATGCATACACACAGAGACACATACATGTGCAAATAAATTCTATGATCAAATATCAAATCATTTTTAAACAGTCCTGTTGTATTCATGCATTTACAGTGGTTTTATGTTTGTTCTGAGACAGGGTCTCATATAGCTCTGAATGGCTTCAAACTCAATATGTAGGTAGACATGACATTAACTACTGACCTTCCTGCCTCCACCTCCGAAATGCTACAGTTAAAAGCCTATGCCACCGCCGCCGGGAGGTGGTGGCGCACGCCTTTAATCCCAGCACTCGGGAAGCAGAGGCAGGCTGATCTCTGTGAGCTTGAGGCCAGGCTGGACCGACAGCCTCCAAAACAATACAGAGAAACCCTGTCTCGTAAAACCAAAAAAAAAAAAAAAAAAGCCTACGCCACCACACTGGGACTGTGTGGTGCTGGGAATGGAGCCCAGGGCTTCCTGCATGCTAGGAAACCCTCTACCAGCCAAGCTATAGCCTCAACCCCTGTATCACGAGTTTCCATTTATAGAATGAAAGTTCACTGTGGTTGGCCTGGCATAGCAGAGAGCACCTGTCATCATAGCACTCCAGGGGTTGAAACAGGGTGACCAGGGTCATACTCAGGCTACATCATGAGTTTGAGGCCAGCATGGGGCATGTGAAACTTTGATTAAAAGCAAACAACAGAAAGAAAATCAAACTTTTTTTTTAAGTTAGTGGATTATATCCAAATGCAGAGCCAACAGGTCAGAGCTGAGCCCAGGACCAGACTTGCTCTCAAATTATATAAAGTATGCAAGGAGATAAATCAAGTTAGTGATCCTGGCCCAGGCAGGCATGATGTCATGGGCATGCATATAGCACATGATCTTAGAGTTGGGACTGTTCCCAGGAATCATCTGTCCTCCGCCCCTTTTCCACAAAAGGAGACAGACGACTTGCTGCGTGACTTAGCCAAAAGCAGATGCCAGGGCAGGGGTGGATCTGAGCACAGACTTCAGACACACCTCTCCAGCAGCCCCCTTGACCTGCTTCTGCAAGGTCACAGTCTAAGCATACTGCTAGCTGAAAATGAATCAAAGACAAAAGAAACAACTGGATGAACAGCAAAATTTTACCTTCTCTGATTTGCTGGTGGGTTGCACTATTTTGTTTTGTTTAATAAAGTGTGTGTGTGTGTGTGTGTGTGTGTCTGTGTCTGTGTCTGTGTGTCTGTGTGTATGTGTGTGTCTGTGTCTGTGTGTGTGTGTGTGTCTGTGTGTGTGTGCCTGTGTCTGTGTGTCTGTGTGTGTCTGTATCTGTGTGTCTGTGTGTGTGTCTGTGTGTCTGTGTGTGTGTGTGTATCTGTGTGTGTGTGTGTGTCTGTGTGTCTGTGTGTCTGTGTGTGTGTGTGTGTGTGTGTGTGGCGGTGGGTTCAGATGATAACTATTGACAATTAGTTCTTTCTCTGCACCATGTAGGTCCTAAGGACCAGACTCAGGGCATCAGGCTTGGCAGCAGGCAACTTCTATCCACTGAGTCCCTAGGTTTCTTTTTGATAACCCACTTTTAGCTATTTTGAAATATAAAATAGAGTGAACCTGCAAGGCAACTCCAGGACAGTTAATACAGCTGCTACTTCATAAACCCTGTCCACTGTGCTTGTGCACATGCACACACACACACACACACACACACACACACACACACACCTCAGCCTCTGCAAACAGTGCTGAAAAGATACTGAATGTTTCTATCACAAGGAATGGCGAAGACACTCACCACTCAGATTTGCTTCCCACATATTTTATATTGACCCATGCACTGTGTGTCTCATGGATGAATGAAGCATTGAATGTGTTTCACTGTTATATCCAGTCCGTTTGTTTTGTAGTCCTGGAAACTGAACCCAGGGCTTTGGACACTCTGGAAGAAAGTGCTCATCATGCATCACTCTTTTGGGTTTTCAGCAGCTGACAAAGTGCGAATCCATGCACAACGTCTAAAATGTGTGTTCACACTGAGGAGAGTTAAGTGTGGGTCTGTATGCAATGTCTAAAATGTGTGTGTGTGTGCACTAGAGAGATAGTGAATGCGGGTCCACATGTGATGTCTAAAGACGTGTGTTCATACTGAGGAGACGGTGAGTGTGGGCCTGTGTGCAATGTCAAAAATGCGTGTGTGCTGGGGAGATGGTGAGTGTGGATCCATGTGTGATGTCTAAAGATGCATGTATGTACCAGGGAGATGGCTCAGACAGGGGCCTGAGTTTGATTCCCAGACCCCATATAAAAAGCTGGTTGTGGTGGGGTACATTTGTAATCCCAGCACTGGGAGGTGAAGAAAGGCAGATTCTTGAGGGTCGCCCATTAGCCAAATTAACCTGTTTACCCAGGCTAGTGAAATACCCTGTCTCAAATAAAAATAAACATAAAAATCCACAAGGTGAGGACTTGGCTACAGCTCAGTGGTAGAACTTGCCTAGCATGCATGAGGTCCTGGGTCCAATGCACAGTACTGAAATCTTAAAAACAGAGGGGGTACAAAGATGACTCAGTAGGTAAAGGGGCTTGTCCCCATGCCTGACCACTTGAGTTTGATCCCTGGTACCCACATGGCAGACAAGACAACAGACTCCTGTAAGCTGTCCTCTGACCCACACACACATGCCATGTTGCATGTGTGCCCTCACACACAGAAACTAGGTAAATAAATAAACTATTTTTAATTGGAAGAAAACATGGGATGGGGATGTGGCTCTGTTGCTGCAGTGTTAGCACCCATCAAGCCCTGGGTTTGAATCTCTGGCCCTGCATAAACTTGGCATGGTGGTATAGTCGTGTGCCCCAACACTCAGGAGGTAGAGGTAGGGGGAACAAGAAACCCAGTGTCTTCCTCGGCTAAATAGTGAGTTTAAGTTCACAATGGTCTTTATGAGATCCTGTCTCAAAAATCAAGTAAAAAAAATTAAAAACAAGGTACATTCTTGGACATACACCCAAAGTTGTCCTCTGACCTCTACACATACATGCACACACGTTTACACACACACATACACACACACATACAAAGTGTGCCTTATTTGAGACAAAATGGAATACGAACATGTGTGCGTATGTGTGTATGTAAGTGTGTGTGTGTGTGTGTGTGTGTGTGTGTGTGTGTGTGTGTGGAAATGCATGTGCAGGCACCCTGGGAAAAATGAAAAGAGACCTGTGTTCCCTTAAAAGAATCAAGGTACAGCCAGCCCCATGGCTGTTGCCTGAGCTCACCTTTGAGACAATAATCCAACTCAAACAGCTCGCTGTCCTCCGCCTGCCTCTCCCAGTAGACCAGGTAGTGTGTGATGTTACCATTGGGGTCGGAGGGGGGCTTCCACTTTAAGATAATCTGAGATGAGGAATTAGAAACTGATATGGGGTCCAGGGGCACAGAAGGGTCTGTAAAGGAGAAAAGAAACGAGTTACTATGAGGGAGAGTATGTAAGTTGTTGGGCTTACCTAAGCAAGAGGATGGTCCAAGTGAAACCGCAGCCATGTTTGCTAGAGTTATTTAACATCAGAGAAAAGTAGGCACAGTTAAATGCTTGCCCAGGTGAGCAGGAGTGACTGTCCAGTCATGCTATGGGTTATGTGCCCACCGTGTGTCATTTACTCTACAGACTTTGGCTCTGACAGATGCCTAGGCTCTTGCTGCTGTAGGTACTAGAAAGATGTTCCTGGGACCAAAAGAGACTCAAGGCAAGAGAAGGATGTTGGTTGATGTGGGCATGAAATCAAACCCAGTCACTGGAAGCACTTGAAACCATTGAACTGTGTCTGGTTGTTTCTGAGACAGGCTATCATGTAGCCCATGCTAGCCTCAAACTTTTTAAATTCATTTTACATACCAACCACAGTTCCCCCTCCTTCCCCACCTGCTGCTCCCCCTACGGCCCCCCAACCTCCCATCCACTCATCAGAAAAAGGTAAGATCTCCCCTCAACAAAGCCTGGCAGGACCAAGGCTAAGCAAGGCATCCCACCATAGGGAATGGGCTCTAAAAAGCCAGCTCACGCACCAGAGATAGATCAGATCCCACTGCCAGGGGCCCCACAAACAGAGCAAGCCACACAACTGTCACCCATATGCAGAGGGCCTAGTTCAGTCCCATGCAAGCTCCCCAGCTGTCCGTCTAGAGTCTGTGAGCTCCCTCAAGCTGAGTCAGCTGTCTCTGGATTTCCTGGTCATGATCTTGACTCCCACCCCAATTGCTCATATAATCCCTCCTCCCTCGCCAGAAGCTTGGCCCAGTGCTTGCTAGCCTCACACTTGATAGCATAGCCAAGAACTTGTTTGAAATCCCGATTCCCTACCTTCCTCCTGCATGCTGGGATGAGAGACACTATACCTGGTTAATGAGGTTCAGGGATTTAACCTAGGGCTTCATACAAGCTAGGCAAGCACTCTACCAACCCAGCCACATACCCAGCCCCAGATGGTGTTCTTCAACTGCCATACAACATCCTTCAAAATACACCCTAAACTCTCCTTCTGAAGAACAGTGGGACCTGAGGCTAAGGAGATGGCTCAATGGGTAAAGCACTCATCACAGAAGCATAGAGTTCAGATCCCTGGCGCCCATATAAACGCCAGGCAGCAATGGCTGTAGCAGCCTATGCAAAAACTCAGCAGCCAGAGAAAGCAACCTCTGTGTTTATTGAGAGACTCTGACCCAATATAGAAGGGAGAAAACAACTGGGGAAGACTCCGGTGTCGACCTCTGGCATATGCCACATTCAAGTATGATACACACATGCAAGTGCAAGTACAAAACACACACGCACACGCATGCACACTTGCACACACACAGAGTGCTGGAGGCTGAGAAAGTTGGAGGGGGAGAACATGGAGGTATCAAGGCAAAAACAAAAGATGTGCAAAGGCCAGAAAGGTAGAAGTTTCTGGAAACTAAACTCAGTCTAGACACAAGATGAGAGCCAAGATGGTGAAGAAGCCAGAACAATGGACTGTGTTCTTGTGAGGGGTTGCCTACTCTCTCTCCATGTTGACACTTGGGACAGACAACTCTTTGTCAACCATTCCACTGCCCAGCTGTGACCAGTAAAAATGTCTCTAGATAATGAGGCATCCTCCCTTTCTTGGGAGGGACAGAATCATCTCTATTTGAAAACTAGTTAAGCTAAGAAGAAGGGTTAATCTTGACAGAAAAATAAGTTGCTATGAGACACTATAGCCATAAAGAAAAAAAGGAAGAAACACAAAGGAGGGAGACAAGATTGTCAAGATTACACCATGCGAAGGCAGAAGATGCACACAGGAAGGCACCTTTCTATACTTGAGAAGTTTTCATGACAGGATAGGAAAGCATGCAGTCCACCCCCCTTATCTATGCGGCGCATTTTATAACTGCAGCCGATATCTGAAACCACACAAAGCCCTGGCCATCAGTGTTCCCATACATACATACCTATGATAAAACTTAATCCATAACTAATAGAAGGTAACAACAGCAATAATAAAACAGAAGTTTCTTTTGTTGTTATTTTCTGTGAGTTTGTCATTTGTCTATTGTTTGTTTGTGTTTTTAAAACTGGATCTCACATAGTCCAGGTTGGCTTCAAACTTAATATGTAGACAGAGATGACTCTGAACTCCAGATCTACCTGCATCTATCCCCCAAACATTTCACTATTCTTTGTTGCTGTTTTGAGGTTGTAAGATCTTGATATGTAGCCCAGGCTGGACTCAGACACACAGCAATTCTCTTGCCTCAGTAGCCTAATGATAAGACGACAGGTGTGTATAACCAGGCCTGGCTTTCACTTTTAATTAACTAATTATTTGCTGACTGAATTAACTTTTTAAAAGACAAGTCTCACTGGATAGCTCTGGACTGTATAGAGCTTGAGACTCTTAATCTCAGGGTTGTAGGTTCATGCCCCACGTTGGATGCCAAAATGTAAATTGATGTACTAATTGGTCTAAATAAATAAAAACCCAGAGTCAGACATAGAAGAAAATGCTGAGAAATCAGATAGAAGAAGGAGTAAGCCAAAGTCACCTTTACCTCCTTAGCTTCCCAGTGGAAAAGAAAGCAAGCTCCTGTTTCCTTCCACCTATATCTTCTCTCTGTCCAGTCATCTCACTTTCTGTCTGTGACCCGCCATTTCACTTCCTGTCTGTCTGTACAGACCTCCAGACCTCTATGGTTAGCTAGTGGCAAGCTCCACTCTCTGATCTTCAGACAAGCTTTATTTGTACAAGCAAGATGTAACCACACTGGATGGCCTAGAAGACACTACTTAAACCAGGCTGGGCTTGAACTCACAAAGATCTATCTACCACTGACTGCCAAGAGCAAGATTAAAGGTGTGTGCCACCATGCTCAGCCTCTCCCCTCTCCATGCCAGATGTTGAAGAGAGTCTTGTGTAGGTAATCATAGCTGCTTGGAGTTCAAGAAAGTATGTGTTATGTGTGTTTAGTGTGTGTGCATGCATAAATATATGTGTGTGTGTGTGTGTTATATGTGGTATGTGGTAGGCATGTACATGCATATGTATTACATGTGATGTCTGTGTTGTATGTAGCATGTGTTGCATTATATGTTGTGTGTTCATGTGTGTTACATGTAATGTGTATGTTATATATGGTATGTGTGCAAGTTGCATGTGGTGGATGGGTATGCATGTGAGTGTGAGTGTGTGTTAATACATCAGTATTGTATTAAATGTGGTGTGTGTTATATGTGAAGTATGTGTTATATGTGGGGGTATGGATGTATACATGTGTGTATTAGATGTGTAGTGTTTATGCATGTGTGGAGGCCAGAGGAGGAAGTCAGGCATCCCATTCTATCAGTGTCTACCTTACTCCTGAAACAGGATCTTTCTCTCAAACTAGAGCTAGTCTGGCGGCCACCAAATCCTAGTGCTCCCTTGTCCCTAACCCTGAGCCACAGTGCTCTGTGGTTACAGACTTACAGATGTGCACATGGCCTCCCCTGAGACACAGTGGTCTCAGTTACAGACATGCACATGGCCTCCCACTGAACCATAGTGCTCTGGGGTTTCAGACATGCACATGGCCACCCCGAGGCCCAAGACTGTGTGAGGCATGAACATGGTCACACCCAGTTTTCAATGTGGGTGATGGGAACAGCACACAATCTTGCCCACTAGGCCATCTTCCCAGCCAAGAGTGAACTCTTGAACTATAAGGTAGCTCATGGCTACCATGCTATCCTCTGAAAATATAAGCCTCAGCCCTTAGCTCCTCCAGAAGTCAACCACAGGAGAAAGCCTGTCACAGGATATCACTAAGTTGCCTACCAAAAGCCATAGAGTCAGTTCAACATCAAACCCATATTCACAGGACACACTTACTAGTGGCATCTGTCTGCACATAGATGATGTCACTTTTGGCTCCGTAGGTCCGGCGTTCATCAGAGAAGGTAACCAAGGTCTTGACAAAGATAGCATATTGAGTCCAGGGCTTGAGACCCCGCATTAGCCACCCAGGGTGGCTTGGGGTCTGAGACTTGGGGTCGTTGGACCTTTGGGGTGGGTCAATATCTACCACAGTCCAGCTGTTGGAGCCACAAGCATCCTGCCCATCAAACTCCGTCACATTCTGATAAGGGCTTTAGAGAAATGAGAGGGAGAGGTAGGTTACCACTGAGTGAATGTCAATCTCAGGACTCGGTGGAGTGGGGACCTTGGAGAGTTACAAGATGTAGACTCACTTCCTTTCTGGAGTGTGTGTGTGTATGAGTTTCTGGCGGTTCACTTGAACATATGTGCATGGACCTAGAAGACCATCTACCTTGTTTTTTTCTGTTTGTGAGACAGACTCTAGTCCTCGCTGGCCTCAAACTCACATTAGTCTGCCAGCCTCTTGTCTCCTCAGTGTTGGGGTTAATACCATTCACCCTTGATTCCTACCTTGTGTTCTGAAACAGAGTGATCTTATGTGGCCTGAAATTCACCTTGTAGGCAAGGTCAGCTAGCCAGAGTGAGACCCCAAAAATCTGCCCATCTATCTTCCTCAGAGTTGGCGTCCACAACTCATGGCTTTCTGAAAGTGTGAATGTGTACCTGAGCATGTGTGCTTTGTCCCTGCAACAAGGAGCACCTCCTTTTACTTACGCCTCTTTATAGAAGAGCATGAATCCCAGGAGGTCTCGGAAGTCAGGGGGCCAATAGGGCTCCCACCTCAGCAAGATCTTGTCAAAAGACGTCCGAATGAAGGAAAATTTAAGTAACTCATTTTCACCTAGAAAGAGAAAAAAGTCAGACAATTAGGAGTACTGAATAGTTTGTTTCAAAGCAAAGTTCTTGTTCTCCCGCCTCGTAGGGTGGGGTTAGACGGAGGGACAGAGAGAGTCCTAGTTTCATTTTGTTGCTCTGATAAAACACTTGACAAAAACCAGCTTAAGGGAGGAAGAGTTGTTTGGCTGCTTGTTAGAACAGAGCCTATCATTTCAGGGAAATTGGGCAGGAACTCAAGGCGTCAGCATCACCCACGGTCAATAGCAGAGGGAGATGGAGGCATGGGCGACTCCTGCTTGCTGCTTATATTTAGCTAGATTTCTCCACTCTCATGTTGTTCCAGATCCAGTCCATGAAAGGGCTCTTCTCACTTCAATTAAACAAACCCCAAGCCAACAAAGCCTACTTGGTGAGCTACGGATCAGAAAGAAACCACCAAAATGATCACCAGTCATGCCTACAGGTCAACCTCTTCTAGACAATTCCTCAATTAAGATTCTCTTCCCAGGTGATTCTAGATTGTGTCACACTGAAAATCAAAACAGGGGGTGCATATACTCTGCTATTGCTTACATGGGTCTCACCCACGTAAGCAGAAGACTGGTCTTGCCGAGTTTGAAAAGTGGGAAGTCGGCAGATGAACAATGAAATACGACGCTCACCTGAATCATGGATGATCCATGCCGATGCAAAAAGGAAAACTAGTCAGCCATTTTGAGCTCTTTTTAATGTGTGTGTATGCATGTTCATACATGTGCAGGTATGATGACTAATCTTAGCATTTCATACATGTGCAGGTATGATGGCTAATCTTGATATATGTGCAGGTGTGACAGCTAATCTTAGCTGTCAACTGGACACACCTGGGAAGAGAGAACCTCAACTGAAGAACTTCTTCCATCAGATTGGCCTCTGGTCATGTCTATGAAGCTTTTCTTTTTACTTATGATTGAGGTAGGAAGGGCCCAGCCCACTGTGGACAGAGCCATCCGAAGGTAGGTGGCCTGGGCTATATAAGAAAGTTAGATGACAATACGTAGCAGTCTTCCATGATCACTGCTTCAGGTCCTGCCTCCAGGTTTCTGCCTTGAGTTCTTGCCTTGACCATCTCTACTGCTACAGGGATCAGGAAGTAAGCTCTCAGCCCCAGGCCTGACTCCTCATCTGATGCCATGCCCCCACCACGATGATAAAGGACTAAGCTTCTGACTCGTAAGCCAGCCCTGATGAAATGCTTTCCATTAGAAGAGTTCCTTGATCGTGTGTCTCTTTACAGTGATAGGACGCTGAGTAAGACAGTGGTGCACACTCCCAACCCCGCCCAGCACTGGAAAAATAGGAAAGGCAGATAGATCCCTGTGGTTCTCTAATCAGTCCACAAAGACTGTTGTTTAGCTCCAGGCAGTGAGAAACCGTGTCTAACAAAAAAGAAAAATAGGGAACAACATCTCTGTCCTTCACAGACACATGCACATCTATCCCCAAACACACACACACACACACACTTGTAAAACACACACACACACACACTTGTACACACAGACATACACACCTGACTTTGGTATTTTAAAACTCCTCTCACAGAAAGCTGTAGTTCAACAAAAGACAATGGCACTTCCCTGGGAGCTAGGGTAGTAGCTGAAAGAGGGCTGCCACTGGAGACATAATGATAAAGAGACTTACAGGATGCCTGGTCCCCATTGGTCTTCAGGGCAATGTCATTCCTCTCCTGGCGGCCCTTAGTTCCAGAAACTTCTTCCATCTTGTGAATTTCTGACAAGCAGAGCTTGGGGTTGTAGTGGAAGAAGAGCTTGCCCTGAGTGATGGTAAGGTTGTGTTTGTTCCAGTCCCAGAGCTGTCGGAGGTTCTGGTTGTCCAAGGCATAGAAAGAGTAGTTCCTACAGACATACAATGTTAGTCACTCCACAAGCCATCTTCTTCAATGCTGAGATGACAGGTTGTAATTTTCTTTTAAAAAAAGAAGAAATGGACTTGAGAAGGAGCAAAGGTGGAGGTAGATCAATGAGGAAGGAGGTATGGGGGCCAATTATGATCAAAGTAATTGCATGTATATAAGAAATTCTCAAAAATTAATTTTACATATCATAGTTAAATAAAAATGTAAAAACTAGATAGCCAGAGCCATGCCTGGAGTTGACCCCTTCCGTGCTACAGGTCCAGTCCTAGCCACTTGATTGACACAGACTCAAAAATTAGCTTTGGGACTATGGAGAACAAGGAAGTTTGCAAATTTTCATTGCCAGTTAAGTGTAGTGCACTCTCCTAGAATGCCCCAATGAGGGACTGGGGGATGTGGCTCAGTAGTAGAGTCTCTGCCTAGAATGCCCCAGTGAGGGGCTGGAGGCATGGTTCCATGATAGAGTGCTTGCTTAGCATGCACCAGCACTATATTCAATCCCCAATGTGGCTAAATAAGAGGGAGAAGAAAAGGATCTAGAGAAGGAGGAGGAAGCAAAAAAGGAGGAGGAGGAAGAGGCAGAGGGGAAACAAGGGTAGGGGTCAGACTGGGTTTTGGAGAAGGCGAGGGCGAAACTGTGACCCAGGTCTAGCAATAAAAAAAAACCATAAATCAAGTTTGGGGACGAAAAGTATGGAAGGTTTCGATCATGGATGGCGTTAGAAATCACAGCATGGACCAGGCCAGGCTGCTCTTGAGACTTGCCTGCTTCCAAAAGCCCAGTTGTGCGGCTCTGCTTTAAGACACAGTGTGGACTGGCATGGCCTTTTGCTCCTCTCCCTATTTGCTGCTGGTTTGACAGCTATGAGACAGGGGACAAGGGACCTGTCTTGTGCCTGTGAGAAACAGGGAATCTAACTGCATGTCTCAGTGCTCCTTTTGCTCATGAGTCTATCTCTACTTTTCAAAACACCACACACCATACTCCTGTTTGCTTGAGAAACACACGCAGGGTCTGTGGGACCTGGAGGAGAGCAGAGCAAAGGAGAGTCCACGGAACCAGGATGGATAACTGGAGTTCTGCAGAAGGACACTTGCTATATCTGAGGTTCCCAGAGGTCACCTGAGGCAAACTACAGAGACAGGCTTGGGGTAGGGGGGTGAGGAGACAATCTGCACTAAATAGTTCAGCTTATGTAGTGCAAGGTCTGAAGGCACAGGTCATGGCTGGAAGCCCACACTGCCAGCTCATAAAAGAAATGGAGACAGAGGAAAATGAGAAAGGACACCTGGGGGTGGCTGGGAGGATGCCTTGAGGAGGTGGAATTCCAGGCGCCTGGAAAGATAAGCATCTCAACAAAGAACAGGCAGGGTCTCCTCCTCTCACAGGCTGGTGCACAAAAGTTCTTGGGGGTGCGGGGCAGGGACACCATGGACACAACACCTTATGTTGAACCTTCTACAATGCTTCAACGACTGTGGAAAGGTTGGAGTGTTGCAGATCCAAAGTCTAATTACAATTTATCCTGGTCTGTCTTTAACCCCCTTAATAGCCACTCTGTGTCTTAACAGCCCAAATATCCTTGTGGCTAACATGCAAGCCTTCTGGAATGTACTAGCATAGCAGACCATTAGTTTCCATCAACTAAAAGGCTAAGAATGTCGTCAGATGACATCTGAGGCCTATAGCAGAGATTTCTCTGGTTTGCTGTTAATCACCTCTTTGATGTTTCTACCAGTATCATTTCAAAGTGACTTGGTTTGTGATGTTCTGTTCTATTAGTATAAAAACTTCATGAGACTGTTAGCACATTGGAATTTGTAATTTGGGATAACCTTTATCTGTGTTCGTGGGCCATGCTACTCATAATTGGCTCCAGAATAAACTATCTCTTAACCCTTTCAGGTGAGAGGTGGAGTTTTGTATTGACAGAGCCAAGCAGTTTCCAAACATGGCCGTGACCAGGTATTTGTCACACTCCATTCTCTGTGTAGCTATGACAGATGCACATGCCATTAGTAAATCCCAGTCATTACCCGCTGGCTTCCCCAGGAAGACTACTAAGTAGACTTTCTATCTCTTGGCTGGATAGCCATTCAAGAGTGTCCTGTCATCCAACTGCTGCTTCATTTTGGTTTAGAAGGGTTTTTAAAAAGAAAAGTTCTGCCAGGCGTTGGTGGTGCATGCCTTTAATCCCAGCACTCGGGAAGCAGAGGCAGGTGGATCTCTGTGGGTTCGAGGCCAGCCTGGTCTATAGAGTGAGTTCCAGGACAACCTTCCAAAGCAATAAGCAATACAGAGAAACCCCGTCTTGAAAAACCAAAAAAAAGAAAAGTTCTAAGGGGTGTGTGTGTGTGTGTCTGTCTGTCTGTCTGTCTGTCCGTGTCTGTGTGAGCACACGCGTGTGTGCACACTCGCGCACACATGCACACACTCATACACGCATGAGTGCATGTACATGTATGTGCTCTTGAGTTGAAAACAGAGAAAACCTGGCTGCCTATCACTTACACCTCATCCACCCTGGTTTTCTGAGTCGGGGTTCCTCACTGTTCTACAACCTGATAAGTAAGTGAGGACTGGCTGGCCAGGGAGCCCTAGGGATCCACCTGTCTTTTCTCCCCAACTCTAGGAGACCGCCCCTTTTGTTTTAAACTTGTGGTCAAGCTCAGGTCTTAACATTGCAAAGCAAGCAGTGTACCCAGTGAGCCACCTCCCCATCCCCATGTTGTCTCATTCATGAGCTTCGTGATTGGCAGCCACAAACACAGCCAGGTTCACATACCCGATTTCCAAGGTCTCTCCTCGAATCAGATGAAGCTTCCGGAAGAAAGAAAGAGATACTAGAGCATAGGAACGTCGGATCTTTAAGAACCCTGAAATTTCTTCAATGAGGCCAAGGTTAGCCTCGAGCTCAGCTGCCAGGTTGTCTACAAAAAATAGGAAACACCCATGAGTGTTTGCAGGATATTTTATCCAGCGTGTGTGTGTGTGTGTGTGTGTGTCTGTCTGTGTGTCTGTCTGTCTGTGTATGTGTGTTCCTGCCCTGTTGTGTATGTGTTTATGCCCGCCTGCTGTGTGTGTATGTGTGTCTGTGTGTGTGTTCCTGCCCTCCTGTTATCCCAGCACTCAGGATGTGATGACAGGAGGATTAAGTGTGGAAAGTCACCTATGGCTACACAGTGAGTTTGAAGCAAATCTACAGTACACTTTCTTTTATTTTATTTATTTACTTTTATTTTTTAAACAAAGTCTCACCTAGCCTTTGGCCTCAATCTACTATCTAGCTAAAGATACCCTTGAACTTCTGACCGCTTGCAGCCTCCACTTTCCCAGTGCTTCAATCACACAAGGGTAGGACATAGCACTGAGGACTAAACCCATGAATGCTTGGAAAGCAGTCCACCTGCAGACCTGCCCATTCTAGCTTGGAGGCTTATTCTCCATTTCTTTGACATGGGGTGTCATGCAGCCTAGGCTGACTTCAAACTCACACTGTAGCTGACGATGAACTAGAACCTCTCCTACTTCCATTTCCTGAGTGCTGCAATAATGAGTATGGGCCAGCAGACTCTGAGCACATCAATAAGAATACAGATTCCTGAGGCTGTAGAGATGCCCAGGAGCAGTCAAGAGAATTCTGCTCCTGCAGAGGACCTGAGTTCAGTTCCCAGCACCCACATGGCAGCTCACAACCACCTGTAACTACAGTGCCCACTTTGGGCTTTTGTGGACACCACACACACACACACACACACACACACACACACACACACTACGGTATATATACATACATGCAGACAAATGCTTGATGCAGATTGGAAAATAAGAATTTTCGGCAAATGTGGAGCCAGAAACTTTTCATTTTGGATTCTGAGGCACCTCCTGGTATGAGTCTCCTACTTAGAGGGCCAATAAAGGATGTGCCACTTTGATTGCTTGCTGTGTTGATTTCTTTCTTTAGATAAGATCATGTCACCCAGGTGGTCTGAACTTCCTAGATTAAGCAATCCCCCTGCCTCAGCCTCCTGAGTAGCTGAGACCATGAAAGCTGGGAGGGGAATGTGCGGATACCCTGGGCGGTGCACTTCCCCGCTCACAGCACACAGGAAGTGGGGGACCCTCCTGGGAGTACTCACTGCCCCCTCGGATGTTGATGATGAGGCTGCCATTGATCACTGTGCAGCCTCGGAGCTCCTGGGCAGATGTCACAGAGTCAATGGTCTTCTCGCCATCCAGGATCTGGCAGACCTTAGGACAGGGTCCCAGACATGGGATGCACATCAAGCTGAGAGTAGAACAGAGAAAGAATGAGATCAATCAGGAGTGCTGGGCTCCTTCACCCACCGCCGGGAATACAGCATGCTTCACCGGGACCCAGTGGCAGACTTAATCACTCTAAGGTAGATTTGCTAAGCTCAGCACGTGTCCTCGTTAGCTTCAGCTGTAAACATGATAAGGCCTAGTGTGATCTTGAGGGACTCTCAGTCAAGGATTGCCTAGGTCAGACAGGCCCATGACCATCACTGTGGAGAGTTAGCTTGATTACTGGTTGATGTGGGAGGGTCCAGCCCACTGTGGGTGGCACCATTTCCTAGGCAGGTGGGCCTGGGCTGTATAAGAAAACTCGCTGTATATGAGCCAGAAACTGAGCCAACAAGCATCATTGCTCTGCAGCACTTGTTCTCAACCTGTGGGTCGCAAACCCTTTGGGAGTCACATATCAGATATCCTGCATAGCAGGTATTTGTATTACGATTCATAACAGTAGCACAATTACAGTTATAAAGTGGCAATGGAATAATGTTATGGTTGGGGGATCACGATGACAGGAACTGTATTAAAGGGATGAAGCATTTGAAAGGTTGAGAACCACTGTTCTATGGTTTCTGTTTCAGGTTTCTGCCTGAATTTCCTCAGAAACAGACTGTGAGCGGACAATATAAGCTGAAACAAACATTTCCTCCCCTGAGTTGTTTTTGGTCGGTGTTTCATCACAGCAACAGAAACGGCACTGATACAGCACTCCGAATAATTGAAACCAAGTATATATTCACAGGGGCAATAAGGTGACCATAGACAGTATAGGTTGCAGAGCAGGGTTCCCAAGCTACACTCAATACCAACAGCATCGCATATTCATGTTGCCACAACTAAAAATATTTCCAGATGTTGTCAAATGCATCCCACATACATAGAATAGCCAAGTATCTCCCCGCCCCCAAAAAACATAGCCCAGTGTTTGGAAAATGGCTCGGTCTATGGAGTGTTTTCCTCACAAGTATAAGAACCTGAGTTGAACCCTCAGGACCCACATAAAAATGCCAGGCATTGGCTAGAGAGATGGCTCCAAGGGTAAAGGTGCTTGCAGCCAAGTCTGCAACCTGAGTTCAGTCCTGGTGACCACAAGGTGAAAAAGGGGACCGAGTGCTGCAAACTGTCAACTGATCACCACATGCTCATAGCGCACACACACACAAATAAATAAAAAACATGTAATGAAAGATTTATTTAAAAAATATCAGGCATGCTGTCATATGTTTGCAGATCTAGTACAGAGGAGGAGATGGACTCCTGGAGCTCACTGCCCTGCCAAACCAGCCTAATAGGTGAGCGCAGGCCAGTAAGAGACCACATCTCATAGAAAGCAGTAGGATTTGGAGAATAATATCTGAAGTTGTCCTCTGACCTCCCCACACCTGAACACACAGCCACATACACACCAACATGGGCACACCCATATACATACACATTCACAAAAAAATTGACTTTCCTAATGTAAGAAATGTCCTTTATTTCCTGCACAGAGCAGACATGACAGCGCCACACCTCTCCAGTGTTGGTGTGACAAGCACAGACCACCACACCCAGCTTTTCCCAGGAGTGCTTGGGATCACACGAAAGTCAGCACATTACCAGCTGAACAATCTTCCCAGCCCATAGTTTTCCCTGGAGTCTCACCTGTAGGGATGCTTGCTAGAATCATTGATAAAATATCATATGTTAGAATTGTGTGTGTGTGTGTGTGTGTGTTTGTGTGTGTGTGTGTTGGGGACTGCACTCACAACCTTTTGTGAAGATCAGAGATCATCTTTGGGTGTCATTTTTCAGGTGTCTTCCAACTTGTCTCTTGACTGAACTTGGAACTTGCCGCATGGCCTGTGGTGACTGGCCAGTGAATTCCAGGGCTCCTCTGTCTCCTCCTTCCCAGAACAGGGGTCATAAGTGCACACCATCACACCCAAGTTTCCAAAATAAAATTTTACGTGCATTCAGGTAGTTGAACTCGGGTCTCTCTGAGTGCCTGCTGATAGAGTTAACTGCCCTGCCTTGGAAGCCATCTTTTCACCTGTCTCCTCGTGTCCTAGGGGACAGGGACTATGAAAGTCTCAACCAGCAGGCTGCATAGTTGGTTCCAGGGGTGTGGGGTAAGCATATGTGGCTCCAGCACCCCAGCACCGCAGTGGTGAGATGGCTCATGAGGAAAAGGGCTTGAACCAAGCTGAGGTCAATCCCCAGCACTCATACGGTGGATCAAGAGAGCTGACCCCCAAAAGTTGTTCTCAGACCTCTAAATGTGCACTGTGGTGCCCCCTACATAAATAAATAAAATATATAAAAATCCCCAGTACTTGAGGGATCAAGGCAGACAACACTGCAGATCATTGCAAGTTTGAGGCCAGCCTGATGTACATAGTGAGATGAGAACCTGTCTCAAAAGAACAACAAATACAGTCTATCTTCTCATGACTGCTCCTAAAGGTATCTAAGCACCGTCACAGGCACCACAAATGAGGTGGCCTATTATGTAAGTGTGCTGGCTGCACAGCTTGAGACCTGATACAAAATCCCGAGCACCCACATTTTAGGCATGGCAGTGCACCTAGACCCCAAGTCCGGGACCAGGGAGTGGGGGATGGGGTGCAAAGACAGGAGGATCACTGGGGCCTGGGTCCAGGTTCAGTGAAAGATCCTACCTCAAAGCGACACGGGTAAGTAACAGAGCAGGGCTCCTGACATCCTCTGGCCTCGTACAGGCACAAAAGGCAGGAACACTGGTATGTGCCCATGACAGTTTCTCCATTATTTATTTCAGTGCTGAGCCATTCTAGTGAAAGTCCCAAACTTACACCCAGCTGGTCAGAAATGTGGGTGTCCAGGTCTGAGTACCTCTGACATCAGGAGTCAGGGAGGCTTGGAAGGTACTGAGCCTTGAATGTGTGAAGTCTGATACGAACCCCAGACACTGTGCAAACATCTGGACCGGAAACAGAATAGACAGCCATGGAAGGAAGAAAGACTTTGGATAATTACCCCTTCCTAATACACACATACACACACACACACACACACACACACACACACACACACACACACACACACACACACACATCCAATTACTCTGACACTTAAACCACATAAAGACCCAGCAAATTATAAACTAACTAGTCTCCATGAATTCTTGCAAACTGAATCTTAGAACAAATAAAAAAAGATCATCCACCCTAGTGAAATAGGTTTTATCCCACAAATGCAGGAATAGTTCACATACTTAAATCAATTAATGTAATCCACTATATTAAAAAAACTGAAAGGAAAAAAATATGACCATTCCATTAGATGCAGAAAAGGCCTTTGACAAAATCCAACACCCCTTCATAATAAAAGACCTGGAAGGAAACTCAAATCGATTCCACTAAAATAAAGAACAAGACAAGGCTGTCCACTCTCTCCATACCTATTCAATATAATACTTGAAGTTCTAGCTAGAACAATCAGACAACTGAAGTTCAAGAGGATACAAATTGGGAAGGAAGAATTCAATGTATTGCTATTTGCAGATGATATGACAGCATACTTATATGACCCTAAGAATTCTACCAGGAAACTCCTACAGCTGACAAACACTTAGCCTTCCTACATATAAATGACAATGAAATCTGAGAAACAATATCTTCCACAGTAACCTAAAAAAAGTAAATAAATAAAATATCTTGGGATAACTCTAACCAAGCAAGTGGAAAACTTGTATAATAAAAACTTCAAGGCATGAAGAAAGAAACTGAAGAAGATATCAAAAGATGGAAAGATCTCCCATGCTCATGGATCAGCAAAATAAATATAGTGAAAATGGCCATCATACCAAAAGCAATCTACATATTCAGTGCAATCCCCATCAAAATCCCAACACAATTCTTCACAGAAATTGAAAAAACAATTTTCAGATTCATATGGAAATACACACACACACACACACAATATTCAAATAATCCTGAATAATAAAGAACTGCTGGAGGTATCACCATCCCTGACTTCAAATTGTACTACAGATCTATAGTAATAAAAACTCAATGGTATTGGCATGAAAACAAGCATGGTGATCAAGTGAATTGAACCAAAGACCAAGACACAAATGCAGCAGACCTATGTACACCTGATTTTTGTTTTGTTTTGTTTTTGTTTTTTGAGACAGGGTTTCTCTGTGGCTTTGGAGGCTGTCCTGGAACTAGCTCTTGTAGACCAGGCTGGTCACAGAGAGTTCTGCCTCCCAAGTGCTAGGATTAAACGTACCACCACCCTGCTGTACACCTGATTTTTGACAAAGAAGCAACACACATACAGGGGGGGTGGACACAACACGGACAACATCAACAAATGGTGCTGATCAAACTGGAGGCTGAATGTAGATTATAAAGAGACCCATACCTGTCACTCTGCACAAAACTCAACTCCAAAATGATCAACAACCTCAATATACAGCCAAATACCCGAACCTGATAGAAGAGAAAGTAGGCAACAGCCCTGTACTCATTGCTACAGAAGAAAACTTTCTGAACAGAGGCACAGACACTAAGATTAACAATGGAACTGAAAAGCTTCTATAAGGCAAATGGCACTGTCATTCAGACAAAGCAGCATCCTACAGAATGGGAAAAGAACTTTACCAACTCCACACCCAAAGAGAGCTAATCCCATTTATATAAAATGGTCAAAAAACAGACATTAAGATAACAAATAACCCAATGGGATGCAGAAACAGAGAATTCTCAAAAGATGAAGCACAAGTGGCTGAGAAACACTTGAAGAAATGTTCAACATCGTTAGTTATTAAGGAAATGCAAACCAAAGCTACTTTGAGATTTCATCATATACCTGTCAGAAAAATCAAGAACAATAAAACAATTAACAGCTCATGCTGGCAGGAATGTAGAATAAGGGAAATCTCATCCATTGCTTATGGGCGTACAAACTGGAAGATCAGTGTGACAATTCCTCAGGAAGATGGGATGAATAGGTAAAAACAATGTGGTACATTTATGCAATGGAATATTACTCAGCCATTAAATGATTGAAATCATGAAATTCACAGATAAATGGATGGGATTAGAAAAAAATTATCCTGAGTGAGATAACTCAGACGAAAAAGACAAATACGTTACGAATTAACATTTACGTAGACATTTACTGTTAACCCTTGAATAGGCAAGCTACTATAACCACAGAGATTAGGTACAGAGAAGTAACCAGAGAGTAGAGAAGGATATTTGAAGGAAGGGGAAATGGAATATATAATTATGGATGGAGAGAGAGAACACGGGAGGAGGAACAGAAGGATTCAAGGAGAGGGGAAAGGAAGAGGGAGGGAAGGGAGGGAATACAGAGAGAACAGCCAACACTAAGAGACACTGATGGAAGCATATGGAAACCTACTACCACAAAAGCTTCTTAAAATGTATACATACATGAAAGAAATCCAAATAGAATCACCAAATAACAGGAGAGACAAAGTCTCAACTAGGCATTTCTAGACACTAAGTGAAACCTCAGCCAGGAATCCGTTTTATCCAATCAAGTGGTTAGATGCAGAAAGGGGACCCCCAAAGAAACTCCCCAACACCTTGGACTACTGCCAATAAAACTATTGATTGTTCTTGAACTGATGGTAAGGTCCTATTGCTGAAGACAACAGCAATGTTACACTGAACATGGAGAAATTGAGCAGGTGTTTACATAGAGCCTTTCCTCTTGCTGACTAGTGTTCATGGTATTGGAAATACTCTGCATGCCACCAACCCAGCTACATACCCTTCCACCTACAATGACCTGCCTACATGATACTATGGTCCAATAGTGGCATAAAAATGTAACCAACCACTCACTATCTGGTTAGATTTAAGGCCCATTCCCTGAGATGAAACCCATGAATGATAGTGCTCAGATGTCCAAGAACCTGAGACTACATAGGCCATGGATCCAGGGGGAAACCAAATACTATTCTTCTGCCAAAGAAACATAGCAATAAAATGACTCCTAAGGACATTGTGCCATACGCATACATCAGTGTCTCACTCGGCCATCATCAGAGAAGCTACAAGAGTTGGGAACCATTACAGAAACCTACAACCCAACAATGTGTAGAGACAGTCATTTTGGTTATGGTGAGCATTAAAAAGGGTCTTTTATTTAAATTCAATGTCTTTTTCCTCTTTTGAGTGTGTGTGTGTGTGTGTGTGTGTGTGTGTGTGTATGTGTTGTGTACTATATATGCATGTATGCCTCATGTGTGAAAGGTCACAGCTGATGCTAGGTGGCTAGGTGTCTTTCTCAATTGTTCCCTATCGTGTGTGTGTGTGTGTGTGTGTGTGTGTGTGTGTGTGTGTGTGTGTGTAACTGTTTGGGCATGTACACATCACAGCATGTAGTATGTAGGTCAGAGGACAACCTTTAGGAATCAGTTTTCTTCTTCTGGGGTCCTAAGGGTTCAAACTTAGGATGTCAGGCTTGGTGGCAAGCACCTTTACCTGCCACCTCACCAGTCATCCTTCTTACACACTGAGGTAGGCTCCCTCACTTGGACTCAGCAGATGGCCAAACTTGCTCTGGGATCCCTGTCTCCACCTTTTAAGGCTGGGATGACAGGTGGGCCACCACACAGCCTGGCATTTACACAGATTCTGGAGATCCAAACTCCTGCTTCATCTGGTGGTTAACCTCTCCAGCCCCAAAGCCAATGTCTTTTAAACAAAGGTCTTGACAGAAAACATCAGTCCCCACAATTGTATTTTAAAAACTGAAATGTATAAACAGAACAATGTTTCCTTCTCCAAGCTTCCTGTTGAACCTCCCCCTGCCCTCGAAATGAAATATAAAGTCCCATTCAACACAGAGACTGATTTATCCAGATCTATCTGGGCCAACAATACTTGCCGTTTTGTTTCTTTGGTGTTTTTTTTATTTATTTAATAAAAAAGTCCAAAACAAAACATATTGTACTTTCAGACTTCATAAACACTAAAAAAAAAAAGATTCACAAGAGCTAAAATAAATATTGTTTTCCTTCTTGCCCTTTTCCACCCAGGGAAATAAAATTTCCCACCAAAATCAAAACACTCTCTTTTGCCCGCTCACTTGGCTATCGCCCAAGTCTGAGAGGAAGAATTTTGACATCAGCAGGTCAGCTCAAGGCCTCACAATGTGCGTCTGTTTCTGATTTGGTTTTCTGTTCTGTTGCAGGACATCCCCCACCCCACCCCACTTCTCTTAAACCCTAACACAAAAACCAGGAAAGAGATGTAAAACAACAACAAGTTGGTGAAGGTCCCAGACACTAAACTACCTCATCCACGAAGCTGAGGCCCTGAACCCAGCATCTGGGGCGTAGATATAGGAAGCCTGACTCACCACCAAGGAGAGAAGCCTGTTTCTCACCCAAGCAGTAGGAAATGGCTTGATGGTGCTGATCTTGGAAGAACAGCCAAGCTCTGGGAATAGTGTAGGCGTAGGCCCCCGCCTCAAGACAGTGTGTCCCCAGCTTGTGTTGTGGTCAGGTGGGGTAGGACATGAACAACACAGCTACCTTCCAGGTGTAACAGTGCCAGGGAGGAGGGTGCAGGAGAAATGAAAGATTTACATCTTCAACTGTAAGCACCGCACTCAGAAATGGGGTGCTGGGGAGAGAAACGTTTCCTTCTGATTGAGCCCATCACCAAAGCCCAGGACACGGTATTTAAAAGTACACTACTAGGAGCTGGTAGATCACTCAGTTGGCAAAATACTTGCTGTGCAAGCATGAGGATCTAGGTTTGCTTCCCCAGTACCACCAAAGAGCCAGGAGGGAAGTCACGCCTGTAATTCCAGCACTGGGGAAGCAGATACAGGAGTATCCCAAGCTCTAGACCCAGTAAGAAACCGTTTCTCAAAGATAAAGTGGGGAATGGGTACATGGGTCAGTGGTCAAGAGAGCTTGCTGCTCTTCCAGAGGTCCTGAGTTCAATTAATTCCTAGCACCCACACAGAGGCTTACATTCACATGTAACTTCAGCTCAAGGGAAACTGATGCCCTCTACTGGCCTCCCCGGACATTTCAATACACATACAGACACTGTACACACATAACATACATACACATGAATAAAAATAAAACATTTAAAAACAAGTAAGAAGTTGGAAAATTACTAAGGAAAACATCCAGCATCATCCACTCACACACACACACACACACACATCTGCATATAAACATGCCCACCCACATAAACACATATACACACATGTCCACCTGCACACACATGTGCCCACACATATGAACACAAACACACACATGTGTGCATGCCCACCTAAACACCCAGGTTCCCACATGTGTGCACACTCGCTCATATATGTATGCATGCATAAGCACCCATCTGCACATACACATGCCCACACACATGAACACATGCACACATACGGAATTAAAAAGACGGAAGTAGTGGCTATCAACAGCAACCTCATTCTTAGCTAGTGCATTCTGGTTTAGCACAGTTGGAACTGATAAGGCTTCATCATCAGTCCTGAACAGCTGTTATCAACGTTTTGTGGTTTCCTTAAGGGTGGTATAGGTTTCTAGTTTTTGAGACATGGTTTTATGTAGCTCTCACTGGCCTTGAACACACTATGTAGTCAAGGATGCCCCTGATCTTCTGATCCTCCTGCTTCTACCTTCCAGGCCTACCTGCGTACCACCAGGCCTAATAAACTTGGTGCTGGGGATGCATCCTAGCAAAAGAGCTAACAGCTTTAACACATCACCGGCTTCCAGCTCCTTCCCTAAACCCATACACAGGACTCACTTGCTGGAATTCATGGTATAGCCAGAAGGACACTCAGGGATGCACTTGTTGTTGTGAATGACGTATTGGTGGCAGCCAGGCTTCCTAGAGTTCCTGCATTTGTAGTGAAGGTCTTGACAGAAGCTGAAGTTCACACAGCGCCAGTCCTGGAAGTGGTAGTAAGGGGGTGGGCAGGTCTCCACACACCGACCATCCAGGTAGAAGTTGCGGCAGGCCACACACTTGGTGGGGTCATCGGGTTCCGAACAGTTGCCTAGGCACTCCTTGTGGCAGCACAGGCCTTCAGCTGTGCAGCCATGTGACTTACAGATGGTGGGGCAAACTAGAGACAAGAAGAAAGAAACAAAACAGCTGGTCAAGGACTCTGTCCAAGTTCTGTCTGCACAAACTGCCAAACAAAATAATAACAATAACAGCCACACTTAAACAGTACTTGGCACGTGCCTGGCTGGCCTGTGAAAAATAACAGTAGCCCCCAAAGCAACTCCACACTCGGCAAAAATTAAACAGTCACCTGAGGGAGGGGAGGGCAAGAGGCCTAACTCACAGCATTTGTCAATTACTACTACCAACTTCAAGGTACTGACAGGAAGCCAAGGAACCAAGTCCTTGGCAAGAGATACAATATAATACATTCTAAAATAACGTTTCCCATAGCCCACACAGTCTATGTCTATGACAGATACAGTAGTAGTCAATAACTTCAAGGGCACACACACTTTGACTGACGCTATGCCTAGGGCTGGAAAGATGGCTCAATAGTTGCCAGTACCGGCTGCTCTTGCAAAGCACTTGAGTTCAGTTCCCAGCACCCACAACAAGCCTGTGGTTCACTGTGACTCTGGCCCCAGGGGATCTGATGCCTCCTCCTAGGCTTGGCAGGAACCTAGTCATGTTGCATATGACCATATTTTCTGAAAATAGCATATAATAGCTAAGAAGTGGTTGTTTCCATCATTTGTTTAAATGTGATTTGTTTTAATTGTAGGTTTACATAATTTTACATATTGACTTAATAATTTACCTATTTATTTATATATTGCATTGTTGGGAATGGAACCCAGGACTTGCCTGGTTTCTATCACTGAGCTACACCCCAGCACCTCATTGGTGGATTCTAGGCAGGGGCTCTACCACCAAGATACATGCACTGCCCTTATATATGCTGGGTGTTTCACTTCATCACTCTCTCTTACTCCCTTGAGACAGAGTCTCGCACTGAACCTAGAGCTGGGCTGGCAATCAGTAAGGCCTAGAGATCTCTCTTGGGTATATAGCTTGACTATTCCCTGCTTTTTACATGAATGCTGAAGATTTGGACTCAGTTCTTCATACCTGCACATTAAAAACTCCTACCCAGCCACCTCCCCAGCCCCAACTGTGTTAATTCTATTAATTTTGATAATGAACCACCATGCAGTTTTTTTTTCAGCCACTGAACCATTTTACATTCCCAACACCTTCACAAAGACTGTGATTTCTCCTGAGGAGCCAAGTTTTATGTTTCAATTCAATGCACTACGATTTCAATTTCAGTTCCCATTACTACAGCCAACTCTCAACTCTTCTTCGGGGCAGAACATATTTGGAGACTAAACATCTTCAGGGTACTGAGGAAATGTCCTAGAGTTCGCCAATGAGATTAGGCTAGTGGGCTGGCAAGCCTCACAGAGCTTCTCTACCGCACCCCAACAGAGTCCAAGGCTCCAAGCACACTAGGCAAGACCACTACCACTGAAGCCGCATCCTGCTGCAGTCTACCCTCCTTTCCTTATGAGGTCCAGCAACAAACCGGAGTACAATCCCGCCATGATCCAACTTGGAGAACCTAGGTGTTTATTGGACATGTGCAAGCACAGGAGCTTGGGTGACCGCAAAGCAGCCTTATCCCAGGAAAGCCTCCCCCCCACCCACCCCCTGCACGGATGATGACTTCTCTACAGCCGCACAGATAAGAGATCTCCCTTCCACCCTCTATACACCTAGCACCAAGACCATGAAGCCATGGGCATATGCACCTGACTGGGAGGCCAGGAGGGGGCAATAAGAAGGCTGGGGGGGAGGAGGTGTGGTGATCTATTATTTATGATATACAAGAGTGAAGAGAAACAGGGCTCACACCTTTGATGCTAGCATCTGGGATCGCACACCTTTAATCCCAGCATTAAGGAGGTATATAAGACGGGAGCAAGGTTTCAGAGCTGTCATTCATTCTCCAGCCACATTGAGGACAGGAAGGATTGAGTCTCAGGATTTTCCTGCCATGTTGAGGGCAGCATTGCAGTCTGGGATTGCAGACTGAGGTTTGGTGAACCCAGGATCGCCTTTCAGACTGAGGTAGAGTGAGAGCTAGTGCCCGGCTGTTTTGCTTTTCTGATCTTCAGCTTGAAACTTGAACCCCCAATATCTGTCTCTGGGTCATTTATTTTTCATGCTACAAAGGGGTAAATCCAGGGATTCACTGCCCCCTCCTACTACGAGGGAATATCAAGGGGGACAACGACTACGCGAGACAGTTTATTGTAGGCAGTCACCGTTACACTAATGAAGTCGGCCTGTTAAGCTCAGTGGACAGTGCCCTGCAACACCTCACCCAGGCGCTTCCCCACTACTATGCGTCCAGGAATACAGACGGCAAAGCTATACAACGTTAGCTGTGCCAACAACGTTATCATCACTAGTCCGGCTCTGTCCAGCGAGATCTGAGGGCTGAAACTCAATTGGAGGAAGCAATAATAAAGCAGATGATTATCTAAGGCTCACAAAGACATGGACTCTCCCATACGACACACATAAGGGCAGGAAAAAGCCCATTTCCTGGGTCCGGGCTGCAGCTGAGGCTCAGCCTCTTTCATTCACAAGAAGCTTCATCAAAGCCCTAATAAACACTTCCCAAACACATAAGCTCTGCAGCCCACACAACGGTAAAAGCGGCCAGTGGTTGCAAACAAAGCCAGGGGCAAACAGCCAGGCACTTCAATCTTGCACTTTGCACTGTAGGATTCCATTTATAGGGCATCCGGGAAAAGGGAAAGAAAACATGGTGACAGGCAGACACGCCCACTGGCTACTATGGTCTGCAACTGGGGCGGATCAGTCTGTGGAAGCACCAGGGAACTGGGGGTGATGGCGGGGCAGACATGGCCAAATCACTCATTCACTTTCACATTTTATTTATTCGTATATTCAAGGGATGGGGTGCACCTACAGGGACTAGAGGAAGAGGTCTAGGTGCCATCTTTTTTCTTTTAATATTTATTTGTTGACAATTTCATACTTGAATACAATACATCTTAATCATACTTACCCTCTCAGAACCCCTCCCACATCATGTACATCTGCCTCCCAACGTCATGTCCTCTATGTTAAGTTTAACATTTATTAACCCATTAAAGGCCTATTCCTTTGAGACAGGATCTCTCGCTGACCTTGGAGCTAGGCTAGAAGCCAGCAAGCCCCAGGGACACTCCTGTCTTCAAGCTCCATAGCACTGGGGATCCAGGCTGGCATATGGCCACTCCCTGCTTTTTCTCTACGTGCTAGAGATTCCAGACTCAGCTTTCATGGAGAACTTTTACCCACTGAGCCATCTCTCCAGCCCCCAATCTCTATCTTATCTCTTTCTTTTGGTGTTGGGGACTGAACCACAGGCTTATGCCAAAGTTGGTGAGAACCAGATGCCTGGGCCAGGACTGGGGAAGGAGATATACTCTGAGAAATTGGCATGTGAGTACCTAACCAAGTTATAATTTTACACAGTTGCAAGTCACAGCAGGGTGGCTACAGGTAACAGCAGTGGCTGCCCATTTGGAAAAGCTACAGAAAGTATGGTAAAGTGGAGAAATAGGTTGGGGAGGATTAATAAGGCGACCCACACCAGGCCCAGGTACTGGTGCAGTTGACCACTGCTGGGGGTGGGGAAAGATTCACGTTTCAGTTTTGGTTGTTTTGTTTTTGTTTTTTCAGGCTTATGCCCCGATTCTAGAAGCCAAGCACCACATCCATGCACACACTGGCAGCACTTACAACAGAGAATATGAAGTTTGAAGGGAGATATGGGGAGGGGCTGGGGGTGAATATGACTAAAACACATTTTATATTGTATGAAATTCTCAAAGAACAAAGTAAAAACAAATTTATGATGGAGAAACGTTTGAGGATAGTTTAGTTTGGTCTGCTGCGTTTTATTGTGTTTGTTTGTTTGTTTGTTTGTTTGTTTGTTTTGGCAGTGCTGAGGATGGACACCAGTGCCTCCTACCTACTAAGCCCAAGGACTTAACCCAAGGAGCTAAGTGTGGTACTCCCACTCAAACACTAAGCAGGGTGTGAAGGCATCAGATCAGATGGGACACAGTAGGGCCTGCCGCATAGCCCAGGGCTAGCAGGCTAAGGAACTTAGGGCCTGCCTCAGCGATCAGCCAGCCTAGCCCAGAAGAGTTTTACGAAGGCTCTTTTGTGATTGCTCTCTTCTTACTACAACTCAGCACAGGGTTGACCTGAATAATGGCTGTGTTCATCCATGCACCATTCAATGTCACTCAACACACACCAATCAACCCCACAGCACGCTGAGTGTTGTCGTAAACATCTGAGGAAAGCAAGGTCTTCCTCATATTGAGCAAGGGCAGACCACAGGTGGTACAGAAACTCCACTCCTGACCTCCAGAAACACAGTCCAGCTCTGTTCTCCCATTGGCCTACACCCACTCCTGCAGGACACGGGCATGGGCTGGGGGCTGTAACTGTCATAGGGGGTGCATACTGTGGCTCAGCTGGTAGAAAACTCACCATGCAGAGCCCTGGGTTCCACAGTGGGGCTCACCTGCAATCTCAACACTCTGGAGGCTGAGGCAGGAAGACTGCGGTCAACCTTGACTATGACGAAACCTGGAAGCTAGCCTGAACTGCACGCGAACACAGAAAAGGAGCAGGAAGGGAGAGAGGAGAGAGGAAGAGAAAAGGAGATGGAGAGGATACAACGGAAAGGAACGGGTGAGTGAAGAGAAGAAGGGAGGGGGACTGAGGAGGAGAAAAAGGAAACCTCTGAGTGCAAGTCAGTAGCCAGGGGGTGCTGGTCAGCTTCCCTTGCTTGTGACAAGCTAGGATCATCAGGGAAGAGGGGGCCTCAACTGAGAAAATCGTCCATCATCAGATTGGCCTGTGGGCCAGTCTGTGGGCATTTTCTTTAATACGGATTGACACAGACCAGCCCTGCACTGTAAATAAATAACTAGCCCACAGAAATGCCGCATTGCAACCCCCTCTCCCTTAGCTTCTCAAGCTTTAAACCGTTTCTGCTTTTCTAGACAAACTACACATGTG